GGTAAGGGTTAAAATGGGGGAAAATGAAAATTGAAATATTTTATATTCAAAATATATACTTTAACAGTTCCTATTTATATCAAACCATGTATCAAACTTTTTACATAAAGAAAAATAGTTTATTTTTTTATTTTTACACAATTTTCAATAAAAAATATTTATATTTTAAAATTGTTACGAAAATTTCCATGAAATCAAGATGAGATAATAAAGACAAAAGAACACAAGAATTTGGTAACCCAGTTCGATCACGATGATCTACGTCTGGGGCGCTGCCAAGCCAAGAATTTTATTATAAAGTACGCAGGCACATGTTAAAGTGAGAATACATGAATATTTATAGCCTAAGCCTTTGACAATAATATCCAAATCATATTTCTAAAATCTAAAATATAATTTCCAAATCATATCACTAGATTTTAGGATATAATCAGGCTTCATATCCCAACAAAAATAAAAGTAAATAAAATTTCTTTGATAAAATAATTTAAAATAATAAAAATGACTTCACTCAAATTATATATTACAATTCTCGATAACTATCTATAAAATTTTGTAAATTCTAAAACAAAGAAAAGCTAAACCAATATATTTTCAAATTAAAAATCAAGACATTTTTAGTAAAAAAATTATTTGTAAGAAAAATACTAAAATAATAACAATAAATTTGAGAAGAATTTATTCACCCAGTTAAAATTTTTTGATACCTCTCTTGATTAATATTATAAAAAAAACTAAATTATAATACATATTTACACAAATATACAATGTTCATTAAAACAAAAATTAAAATTTAAAAAATAACAATTTTTTATTATTAATATATTTTTTATATCTAACATAAAAGTACATCGAAATACATAATAAACACAATCGAATCTTTTAAGTTATGTTCTTTTGTATGTTTTTACAGAGTTTTTTTTTCTCTAAAAATATTAAATTAAATAATTATAATTTATTTTATATTTAAAATATTACATCAACATATATTTATATCGCATCAAACAACTATTCAAATTCAACATTTTACTATTTATAAATCCAAACTCAAAATCCAAAACCACGAAAAAAACACACCCAAAATATAAGATAGAGAAGGTACTTTTCCCCATTGTTTAAATTTATATTTATATTTTTCTTATTGAAATAAGAAAGAGTTTTCAGTTTTTTAGGTGAAAAAGTACATTTCTTTTGTATTTTTAGCTAGAAATAATACAGTAATATTATTATCTATTTTCGTTAAAATTCATACCACAGAAAGTATAATACAACTATAAAAAAATGAATAAGATGTGTTTGTTTTGATATTCTTGTTCATAAAATTTGAATTATAGAAAATCTTAAAAAAAAATAAAGTTTGTTTATTTTGTATTGTTGTATGAATATATTGTTTATCTTCGATATAAAAATTTGTATTGATAATATAAAAATAATATTTTATATTAATTTTTATATTTTTATAAGTGAATAATATGTATATATTATAATTTTTTTTTATAATATTTATTCCATTTGTCATGTAAATTTAGAACATTTGTGTCATGGATATAAATTAAGAAAAAAAAATATTTTATTAAAAAGTGATAAAAGTAAAGAAGTATTTTGAAGTATTTTCGAAAATTTAGTTAAAATTAAAGAAAATAAAGAGATAAAAAATAATCAAAGTATTTATGTTTACGTTTTACGTTTTGCGCTATTAATATTATAAGACACTAATCAAAGTATTTTTGTAAAATTTTTTTAATTTGTATTACGTTTTGATATAATACTTAATAGTCAAATATCAACATGTAAAAAGTAAATGAAATCCTTAGAGTTGGACGAAAGTAGTAAAATAGTGACATTTATTGTAAATAAGGGTTCAAGAGATGGTAATAGTTAAATATTGAGTTATTGATTTTGCCAAAATAAATAATGAAGTAAATTTAACGAACAAACTAAAAAATAAAATAAATTTGACTAATGAAAAAAAAAAAGTATAAAAAATCATACTTCCTCCGTCCAAACAATAAATATACATTTACTTTTGGCGCGGAGTTTAAGATATAATAGTATTTTAATTATAGTGAGTAGGTAAAAGTAGTGTAATAATATTTTTGCCCACCAAAAAGTAATGATGTGATGTAAAATAAGGGTATTTGTGGAAAAAAAAAAGTGAGGTATTTAATAAAATAATTATTTTTTAATTAGACGTCCTAAAATAAAAATACGTATACTTTGTAGCTGGACGGAAGGAGTATTATATATATATATATAAAGTACCAAGTGAACAAACAAAAACTTGTTCGTAAAAAAAAATAAATAAAAAATGAGAAAGTGTAATTTTGTACTAATCTGATTTTCTTTTTTTGTTTTCAGGTCATAGTGTGAAAGTCATCGTCACATTGACTTTAGGCGTTTCGGATTTTATCAGAAAAAGGATTTCTTGTCTTATTATCGCTACTTTCTCTCACTTCTTTGCCACCTTCGATTTCGATACTTTAAGATTATACGTACATTATATATATAGATGCTCCTTCCGTCCCACATACTATGTCTGTCATACTGTAGATACGGTACTTTAGGAGGAGTGTAATTAGTAGATAATTAATAATATATTAGTGAAAATAATTATTTGATAATATAAATAATTATAAATTAAGATTAAAATAACTAATTAATTTAATTAAAATTTTAAAAAAATAAAATTAAAAAGTTTAAAATGGGATTAAAGTGTGTAATTATTTAAAAAAATAAATAAAAATAACATGATATGTGAGACGGACAGAAACGACAACGTGGACATAGCTCGTGGAAATAGACATAAACATGACTGTGTAAATAAAGAACGTTTTTTCCGTGACGAGAAATTCAGTCCATTCTAAAAAAAGGGATTTTTTAAAATATCAAAGAATGTCAATAATCTGATTCACTGTGGATATTTATAAAATATAATTTTTTAAATACATATGTAACGCCCTTGAAAAGTCCACCAATCATTGCGTACTTTTTCTTACAAGAGTCAAACCCCGAATCCAAACTGAAACCCAAATATTTTAATTTTGTTTTTAATTTTATTAGTGTGGAAAGTATGTAGAGTGTGTTTTTGAAAAAAAAAAAAAAATTCAATTTTTACTATTTTAATATTTCATTTCAAACGGCAAATATTATTTAAATATAAAATTAAAATTAGTTTTATTGTGACAATTTTTTTAAGTATAGATATTTTTTATTTTTTATTTTGTAAAATTATACTCTTTTGTTTGTCTTCAGGGTTACATTTACTTTTTATTTCATTGTATTTAACATTAAAAATATTTTTATATTTGTATAATTTATTGTACAAATATCTATTAGTATTATAAGCATTAATGAAAATATTTTTACAATTTTTTATTAATTTGTAATATAAATTTTTCTACTATAATAATTTATATTCAAATATCAAAATACAAAAAATGAATGAAACTTTAGAGTCTGGTGAAGATAATATCAAATATATATATTTTAAAAAAATAATATTACATAAATACTCAATTTTTTCCTATTATTATTATTATTTTTTTTTAAAAAAAATTATCTCTACTGTTCAAAAAATGGCTTAATTAGGGTTTGTTTTGTTTTGGGTGGAGCTGTGCTGTGCTGTCATGGGATTTCATTACCAACGCCCCTTCGGTTAATCTTAAATTTTGTTTGGTAAGAGAGATAGATGCCTTTCTCTCTCCTCTTTCTCTCTCTTATTCTGACGAGAGTGTGAGTGGATAAAATTTTAGGGTGCGTTTGTTTTGCATTTATGAAAAATTATTCTGTTCAGTTTTTTACGATTTTCAATATAAATATGTATTTTTTCAAATAAAAATATTAATTTATATTTTGACTGTAGATTAAAAAACAATAATATTTTATTGATTAATAAAATTATATAAATATATTTTAACAATTTTTTTTTTATGTTTTGTGTATGTGTGTAATAATATATTTGTAATTTAAGTAAATATTAAATTTATTTAAATATTAGTGTATGATATTATAATAAAGAATATATACTTTTGATTATGACAAACAAAAATAGTAAAAATGATATTTTCAATTAAATCCAATCAACTCTATTCTAATATGAAATATTTTTTTAATTATTTTTGTCCGTCTTACTAAAAACTAATTATTTTCTATTTTAATTACATATCATTAATTTTTATCTCAATTATAAATATACATTTACACGTTACAATTAATTTATATATAAAATCAAAGAGTAAAAAGTCAAAATATTTTACCCATTTCTACTTACCAATAAAATATTATTCTATCTCTCTAACTCAATAATATCTCTTTTCTATTTATAAAAAATAATTATACACTAATACTAAGATATGATTTTATATTTATCTAAATTACAAACGTACTATTATTACTTTATACATAAAGTCAAATGACAAAAATATCAAAACCTTTTATATATTTTTATTAACCAATAAAATTATATTATTTCTTAATTTACTATCAAAATTTCTATTTCAATTGAGATAGAAAAAAATATTATTTTTTAATTTATTACAAAAATATTTTTTTTAAAAAAAACTAAAGAATATTAATTTTCACACAAATTATTATATCAAAAAATTATTTAAATCAAAATTCAAAAACAATAATTCTCAATTGTATAGGAAATATCGAAGAACAGTGAATTTTTACTGTTGCCGTGACGGGTTTAAACCTTTGCGTGTGTTCTCACTGCTCTTCCTCTCTCACTCTACCGGTTTCTCTCTCGGGGTGTTTTCCTCTTATTTATTACATCATAAATTTCGTATCTGGAGCGAGAGAGGGCTTTGTCAGGGCAGTTGAGGAAGGATAGAAAGAGAAAATTTTAGAGAGAGAAACTTTAGAGAGAGAGAGAAACCCTCCATTTGCATATATAAATAAGTAGGCGACGACATTTGGGAGAGTCAAGGGTTTGTTTGTTTGATTTTCCGCTCTCTCACTCTACCCCTCTCTCTCTCTAGCTATTTTCCGACGCGACCATGGACTTCGGAGAGTTCGCCGGCGGAGAAATGTCGACAGATGATCTGCTCAATTCTTACCTCCAAAACGATAATATCGACATCTTCAACGACAACAGCGTTGTCAATCTCATGACCGCCGCCGTCACCGCCGGCACCAGCGGCGGCGGCGGGGTTTTATCTCTGCCCCCGCCTCCGCCGCCGCCGCCGGTCCATTCTGCGCCGCTCCCTCTCCCTCCTCCTCCTCCTGTACGATGATTTTTCCCTCTCTCTTTCTAGATTTTTAATTTATCTGGTTTTTGCCACTAATCTGCGCCTGTTTGTTTGTTTGTTTTTTTTTTTTTTTTCTGAAACAGCCGATGATGGAGAATTTCGTCGGGATGAGCTACGCCGGAGAGAATTTCAGCCTTGGCAACCACTTCGACCCCTCCGCCTCCTCCTCCGCCGCCGCCGCCGTATTTTGTGACGATTCGAACGACAACGCCGCCGATACCAGATCCTCGAAACGGAAAAAATATAATCGTCATACGGGCATCCAAATCCAGGAATTGGAAGCGTAAGCTATACATACACCTATACATACATATATGCATACCACACGTGTATATATCTATCTGTACGGTCAGTTACCAATTAAAAAAAATTAATAAAAAATAATCTCCCCAGGGCTTTCAAGGAAAATCCCCACCCCGACGAGAAAACGAGGATCGAACTTGGCCAGAGATTAAGCCTGGAAGTTCGTCAGGTCAAGTTTTGGTTTCAGAACAGAAGAACACAGATGAAGGTAATTTTTAATTTTATTTATTTATTTATTTTTTTTTTAATTTTAATAATCTCTGTCAGTAACAAACCCTAATCTGAGAATTCCGACGAATATTTGAACCAATTCAGACACAGATAGAGCGCCATGAAAATTCAATTCTGAAGCAGGAGAACGACAAGCTCCGCCTGGAGAATCTAGCGATGAAGGAAGCCATGAGAAATCCGGTCTGCCAGACCTGCGGCGGTCCGGCGATTCTCGGCGACGTCCCGGCGGAGCACCACCAGCTTCTGATCGAAAACGCCCGCCTGAAGGACGAGCTGAGCCGCCTCGGCCTACTCGCCGGAAACTTCTTAAACAAGAGAGGCAGCACCTCCGCCTCCCAAAACTTCAATTCTCCGGCGGCCGGACTTCTACAGGCGGTGGTTCCGGCGGCCGGAATTCAACCGGAGATGGTTCCGGACGGCGGCGTGAACCCTACGCTTCCGCAATTGCCTCTCGAGTACGGCGACATTTCTACCGACGATTACTTTCAAGTCTTCACACCGGAAATTGGGCCAGCAGCGGCGCCGCCGCCGAATGTCGCCAGCAATTTTGACAAAACGTTGTTCTTGGAGCTTGCACTGACCGCCATGGATGAGTTATTGAAGCTGTCCGAAATGCACAACCTCTGGTATGATAGCTTCGAATTAAACGGCGAAACCTTAAACATCGACGAATATGTTAAGGCATTCACCCCCTGCATCGGCGCGAAGCCGGGGCATTTTGTGACGGATGGGACGAGAGGCACGTGTATGTCGATCTTCAAAGGCAGCGTGATTGCGAAGACTTTGATGGACTTGGTAATAAAATCCGATTCGATCTTTCTAAGGTTACTGCTCTGTTTTTTTCTAACGCTCGATTTAGTAATATGATCGACTCGATTGTTTTTGCAGAAGCAATGGACTCAAATGTTTCCTTGTACTATCGGGACAAACTCGGTTTTGGATGTGATCTCCCATGGAAATGGGGGCAACCTAGACGGCGCGCTGCAATTGGTACGTTAGATTCTTACACGGCGCGATCGATCATTCGATTGGATATGATTGTTGTTACTTAGGAAAGTTTGTCTTTTGTTGTTAGATTCAAGCTGAGTTTCAGGCGCTTTCGCCGATGATTCCTTTGCGACCAATGAAGTTTATTCGATTCTGTAAGAGATACCGAACTGACACATGGGCAATCGTCGATGTCTCCGTGGATACATTGTTTCATGACATGAGAGGAAACACGGCTCTCGTTTGTCGAAGGCTCCCTTCGGGCTGCATCGTGCAAGATATGCCAGATGGCGATTCTAAGGTAATTTCGACGCTGAAAACATTGGAAAGATTCGTGTTTGTTAATGTTGTCTTAACTTTCCACGCCTTTTATCCAACTTTTGCGACTTTAATTGATCGATTTCAATGCTTTGTCGTCGCTGTTGCCGTTTTTGCCGTTGTCTTTTTTGAGTAAGTTTGTCTTGAGAATCTGTGATCTGTGTCCTTTCCTTCTGGTATCGCCTTTTCGAACATTCATACTTGTTAGCGAACTTTAAGGTTCGACGCTGTTCCTTTTTTATTCGCAGTGTCTACACGTGTGTCTTTGTCTTTATGCAGCGTATAGAGTAAATGTTGCGTGTGCCTTGGTTTCGTATCGCCTTTTTGAACATTCATACTTGTTAGCGAACTTTAAGGTTCGACGTTGTTCTTTTTTTATTCGCGCTGTCTACACGTGTGTGTTTGTCTTTATGCGGCGTATAGAGTAAATGTTGCGTGTGCCTTTGTCTCGTATCGCCTTTTCTAAGATTCATACATGTTAGCAAACTTTAAGGTTCGATATTATTCCTTCCTTTTTCGCGAACTTTAAGGTTCTACGTTGTTCCTTCCTTTTTTCGCGCTATCTACACGTGTGTCTTTGTCTTGTATCGATCTTTTTGCTCTATTGGATCCCTCTCCTTCGCAGTCGCTGGTAAGAATTTATATCCAGAGTTAGTTACTGCATATCTTAACAGCGCAATCACTCTTTTTAAGGATTCTACATTCAAACATAAATGTAATAACAAACTTTCGTCGTATCAGGTAACCTGGATCGAGCACACAGAATACGACGAGGGGATCATCCATCATTTATTTCGACCGTTTGTCCGGTCAGGACTGGCCTTCGGCGCGCAAAAATGGGTGTCTTATCTCCAACGGCAATGCGAACAATTCAACGCCCTCATGTTCCCTATCGAAACTCCCCCAGGTACGAGGTTTCGGTTTCTACACACGATGCTACGTTTCTTACACAAAAACTGATCTAATTCCGCGCAAAATTCCCCGTTCTTGCAGCGTTCCCAGCAGACGGAAAAAAGAACATCATCAAGCTGGCACAGCGCATTGTCCGAAGCTTCTCCACGAGCGTCTGTGCCACCGGACATCCGTGGGAAGTGATCGAAATCTCGGACAGCGTCAAGCTGCTTGCTCGAGCGAGCCACGGGATCGACGGAGACCCACTAGGCGTAATCGTCTCCGCAACGACGACGGTTTGGCTACCCGTCGTGAACGAAACGCTCCTCGAGTTCTTACTAAAGGAAGAAACTCGCGAGCAATGGGACGTGCTAGCGCAAGACGGCCCAATGGAGCGGATCTTCCAATTCCCGAAGAGCTGCAAGCCCGGGAACTCCCTCGCCCTCCACCGAACTGCAGTAAGTTAAAATTACCGCGCACGAAAAATAAATCCCGCCGTCAATTAACACTACAAAAAATATCATTTTCATAACAATTTTTTTTTTTTAGCTACGTGAACTTTAGGGACATAATTACGTTACAAATATATATTTTCGATCGTCGTGCAGGTCCCCGCCGGCAACCCGAATCGCAAGGCCATGGTGGTTTTACAAGACATGTACACCGACGGGACGGGGTCGGTGATAGTCCACTCTGCTATCGAGGAGGATCGTGTAGTTGAGGTGATGGCGGGCGCGGATTCCTCCGCTATGGGGATTTTGCCGTCGGGATTTGCGATCATGCCCGATTGCATGAACCGTGCGGGGTCCGATGTGGAGTCGGGTACGTTTATGACGGTCGGGTTCCAAATTCTTGTGAACAACGTGCCTACGGGGGTCGTGCCGCCGCAGTCGATAGCCACCGTGAAGAATCTCATTGCACGGACGCTTCAGGGCGTGCGGAACGGGATTAATTGCCGTTGATGATTGGGCAGATCGGGAAGGGACGGGCGCGATTTTGCCGGAATTCGAGTCAAGAGCGAACCTATATATATTTTTTAGCTGAACGGAATGACGGCGGTTCGGGTATTGACTTGGATGAATGAGCCTTTAAGAGAGGTTTGGTCTCGTCTCTTCCTTTATATGATTGGATATGTTGTCTGAAGAATGAACAGTGTTTGGTTTTCTTTATATTATTTTACATGTGATTTGAACAATGAACAATCGTATTTTTCGAGACAAACTGTTTGCTTCTATTTCGAATGATATTTGAACCATTGTGATTTGAGAAGAATATATGTTTGTTGGATTTGCTTGATGTTTGTTTCTTTCGATAATTTGATCTTATGTCTTTATATTGTTTTATTTTGTTTATTTTTATCTTTTTATTGCATATCAATTTATGATCGTTATTTTTTTTAATGTTTATCTAGAAAAATTTTAAAAATACAACTATGTTGGTTTGATAAATCACATAGTATAAGTCTTGAATGACATATTCCATTGATAAAGCATGATAGAGTTAAGAGTTCTAGTAAATTTGAAAATTTTATTAATATATTTTAAATTCTTTTTATTTAGTTATTTTGAAGTTTTAGTTGTTTCAATATATATATATAAAAAAATAGTGAAAAATATATTCAAAAAAATTGTAGTAGATTTAAAATTTTCTTATTACTTTTTAAAATTAGGATAATTATTTTGAACTTTTATATGCTAATATAGAGCAAATTTTATTGTTGGTCATATTAATTCTTTTTTTCCTTTTCCATAGAAATTTTCTTTATCAAAATTAGGCCATTTAGATTTTTTTATTTTTTTAATCATCATTTTTAGTTGTTCCATTAACACCGTAATAAAACTTGCTGATATAAATGTAATGGAAGTAGATTAGACAATAGACTTGGATTGAACATGGACATGTAAATTAAAATATTTTCATGTCGGCGGGACTATTATTTGTGGTCTATGTTAGAACATGCCGGTATTCGTAATACAATACGCTAGTGTTAAAGTTGTGCCAAATAAAGATTTCTTTTTATGTCTACCGTATGTATGTGTTCTAAGTTACACATTTTGTATTTCTATATTTGTATTTTTTATTTTTTTTTCGCACTTTTAGTTTTATTACTAGTGTTTATATACTTGTATCTATATGTTTATTGAAAACATATCGGATATGTTTTTTGGTTGTGTTCATGTATTCCCAAACTTGTTCTTTTACAAAAATTAAAATATTGGACAGGAATTTAAAGAAAGTAATACAACTATCAACAATTTCCGTCTTCTTATTCATGGTCAAACTCTTCTTCATCATGTACATTTAAAATAAGGATAGACTATTTTTATTTTTTTTAATTTCTGCACCTGACTCTATTATTATTTTAGAATTTTAAATGGATCAGGTCTCAAAACTATTTTTTTTTGCACAAATGATCCTCCATCACCCGAATCGTCATGTTGTCGCTGCATAGGCTCGTCGGTGCTAATTTGGTATTGACACGGTTGATCTATTAACACCATATGGGCGACAAGTGGATTTTTTTAATTTATTTTTATCTTTTATGCAATTCTTTTTTAAAAAAATCATTTGTCGCCTTAAAAAAAATTCACTTGTCACCCACATTGCGTTGACAAATCAACCAAGTCATTGTCAAATCAGCACTAGCAAACCTACTTAACGACAACGTGGCGATTTCGGTGACGGAAGACCATTTGTGTGAAGTTTTTTTTTGTTATGAGATAATTTACATACAAGGTCCATTTAGAATTCTAAAATGATAATAGATGTCACGTACGAGACTAAAAAAATAATTTATCCTTAAAATAATTATTTATTTGTTGATGTTGGTTAGGTCTTTACTTAGTCTTTAGTAATCAATTGTTGCACGTTCTTTATTTTCTTACATTTTATTTACAGGTCGATTTTCTTTAAAATTGAATCAATTTGTCGAAGCAAATATTCGCTTTTTGTTCTTTCGTCCAATACTTTGTCTACATCAATTTTGAGTTATCAATGGTAACAAAGTCCACACTTCCTTATTTTGCTATGTATGGAGCATTACATAACTTTGTTCAACCAGCCATCCATAAATTTGATCAATATTATGGCCACATGAGTATGTTGGCGAGAAAATGAAAGACATGATTGTCATTGGAAAAATTCTTACAATCAATGACATAGAGTTTAATTTTGTAATGTGCTCAATCAAAAAATAAAAATACTTAGGCACTCTATCCCTTAATAATTTACAAAGTTCATTTTTTGTTCACGAGAAAAAAATTACTCATCTAAAGAAAGAAAAACATATCTTGAAAATATCCATATGTAACTGCACCAATATATTCTATCAAGGATTTGAAGATCTTGCCATCAAGATTTGCAATCATGCCCGACTTTATGAACCACTCGGCAAGCGATATGTAGTCGGGTTTGTTGATGATTGTCGGGTTTCAAATTCTTGTGAACAACGTGCCTATTGGGATGATGTCGTTGTGATACTTTTAGAGTTGGGCCGGTGCTAGGTCAACTCATGTGTATGGAAGAGCTCGTATTAGACCATCCGAGAGTGAATAGAAATTAAGTGGATTTAATAGATTACTCATGTCAACAATGTGCATATTTCTTTTCGGAAGCACTATTAAAAAAACTATAGAGTTAAACGTTCTTACCCTACAGAATTTGATGATGGGTAACCCTCTAGAAAGTCTCTGAGAGTGCGTATGAGTGAGAAAAAAAAAAGTGCACTCGAAAGACTTGTGTTAACTTGCGGGACCGGTCTACGATCTCGACACGTTCAATTTTGCGTGACTTGCGAGTCAGGATGTCACAGTCACTGCATTCGACAGCCACCGTGAAGAATCTTGTTGTTCGCACTCTTCACGGCACGTAAACCGGACTTAAGTGCCACTAATGGTGATAACTCCAAATAGGAGCATATTCTTAGCTTGACAAAACTGTATATTACTCGAATTTTTGTATAAAAACCATCACAATGAATCATCAATGGCATACATTATTGATATATATCGCTTGGCATGATCCAGAATTCGTTGTTGAGATTATTAACGATTTTTGCCTTTTTAAGCGGTAATCTGGTGCCAGAAAAGCTAAGGCAGATGTCGCAAGCGACAGCCACCTCCGCTCACAAGCGCCCAGAATACATCATGAAAATAGTAAGGCATGAGAGGCAAGCGACAGCCACCCGCAAGCGACAGCCTCTCCCGCTTGCAAGCGACAACCCAGACACCCACCGCTGCAGATTATCACCAGATTCCAATTAAGTGTTCCAACTGCAGCGGTATAGTCATTCTATTTACAGCCAGCACAAGCGAGCCTAGCTGCGCTGATGCCCTCCAGCCCTTCGGCAAGCGTGGAATATCTGCGCCCCTACAGTTCAGTGCAATCAAAGCAAGCACCCTGGGAGTTATGGTCAGCAACTGCATCAACAGAATAACTACCAGTAACCGCCTAACTGCCTAGCGGTTGGAACTGCCCAACAACTCCCGTTTCACCTGCTATAAATAGGGTCAGATATCTTTATGTAAAGGAGATCAATACTTCGATTGAAACACTCTTAGCAAGTACTTCTCAGCAATTCGTCTTCTTGTTTTAGATAGCTCCAACCTTGTAAGAGAGTTCTCCACGTGAATGGTCAAGGGGGTAGGAGTTTTCCTTCTCCCTTGGCCAAGTCTTTACAGCTTTCTTAGATTAGAATTACTGCTTTCGTTTACAGCTTTGTAGCGTTAGTCTTTTTCATGCTTTCGTAGTAGATAATGAAATATCATTCAGTTATTCATCCTAAATTCTTCCACCAATTTTACACACTTATATAAAGTTTGAATTTGGAGAATTTCATTTCACTGGTTTAGAGCTAAAGAGAATTGATTATTTGAGCATTGTTACGCGCCAAAAGCAGTCTCAAGGTAGTTCAATGTAGTTAAGTACGCGGGAGCCCTGTCGACCTGCTTAACTGCTGTTCTGAATTCAATTTTGATTAAAAAGAGGTAACAGAAGGGTAAAGCCACTAATAAGGCAGATTTTGGGAAAATTAATTGGACATAGGCGGTGGTCTATTAGGTCGCAGAGATTTCTAGTAACAGTAGGGTTTCTTTCTTATAATATCTTGAATTTGGGTGTCATTGAAGTCTTTTTGTAAATCCCCTTGAGGTCAAAAATTCCAGTGTTATGAATTCTTTATATTCAATTTATATAATTACACTACTTCATTCTCACCGCTTCTGTAAAATACATATATTTCCGATAACACAAATGCATCGCTCGTTCATTGCCTCAAGGGAAATCTATCCATTTAGTAACGCACAGTTCAGACACAACATCTCTCTTTCACTCTCGGTCGCTCATTTAGATATATATATGTATACATATAATGTGCCGCTCGCTCATGTCCCGTTCACTCGGTAACCGCCATTCATCCATGTCCCGTTCATCTGGTTCCCATTTCTGCGCATGTCCCGATCATCTGATTACCGCTGGCACTTCATCTTCCGCCTTCGCTTCGTTCACTCCTGCTCACTCCATCTTTATCGCTTTACTTACCGCTTTTTATAGTCTAGCTATTGGATCCGCCGTAAGCGGATCCCTTCTTGTATTTTCGTCGTTTTTTTCAAGATCTTCACCGTTGAAATTCATGACTTAAAATCCTTGTGTTCGACCTAGAAACTCACCAGTAAAAAGAGTATAAATAATTGTGATGACTACTCAGGGTCTACAACCACAAAAATTGCTATATCCGGTCGTTTTCTATAACTTCAACTCACTCATTTTCAAATATAAATTCCCTGTGAATTGTGTAAACACGCGCACATTCTTAGCCGTCATCAAATGGCCAGGAAAAGACAAGGCGCAATTTTTTCGAGATTTAAGTCACGAGCAGACCTGTGTATATTTATTAAGCTGAGGAGAACGGCGGTGGTTTAGGCTTGGATAAATGTATCGTTATTTTATATTACTCAATATATATTGCATTTTTTTATTTATAGAGTCGTACCATTTAAAATAAATTTGATGAACGAACCCTTTTGTTTGTATAATTTTTACTATTTCTAAATGTTTTTTCCTAGCTGATAGAGTTTGTTTGTTTTGTGTTTTGATTGGAAAGAATTTTTTTTTTTTCTATATGAGATATAAAAATTGTATAAATAATATAAAAATAACGAATCCGTATAATATATTATTTTTAAAAAAAAAGTATAATATTTTTTACAAAACAAACACAGCCCTATAATCGAATATTTCTTTAAAATTTTATATATTATACTAAAACTAGTTTAAATTAAAAATATTAATCAACATCAATTTATATAAGGTGAATTAAATAATACTATATACATATTTTTTATAAATGTATAAATTATTTTCTTTTTATTTATTTCATAAAATCTTTTTTATATTATGCAAAAAAATAATACTAAAATCGTTTAAATATTATCTTTGAATAAAATAAATAAAAAATTAATCAGCATTTCATTTCACAACTCATACAAATAAAGTTAATATTTATTTTACACACAGTGAGAAGAAAATTAACTATTAATTAATTATTTATTTAATTCAAATAATAATATTTAAGATATTTTATTTAATTTATTTACATAATGCTTGATATGTATTTATAAAAAGAGTTAGCTTTTGGAGAGAAAAAAACATTTTATGCTCCTTATTTTTATATAACACAAGTAAAATTTATGTAATAAATAAAAATTAAAATACTCCTTCCTTCCTGCGCAACATTGTAGTTTACTTTTTTTTTAATATTAATATTATAATAGATTGTAGTAAAAAAGACAAAAATATCCTATTACTATTGTGTAATATAAAAGTAATATAATGTAATATATTATTTTATGTAACCTTTGTGTAATATAAGTGTAAGTTGGAAAGATATTTATTATGTTATATAGATAGTACAATTACTAAATTAGAAAATACTCCCTCTGTCCCAAACACCTGCAACATTTCCTTTTTGGTATGTCCCAAATAGCCTGCAACATTTCTAAAATAGGAAATAATTAATTATACTTAATTTCTACTCCACACTTTATCCGCTCACATCATCCAAATAAAAAAAACAAAATATATATTTGTCTGTCCATCACATCACTTAATTTCTAAATTATCCTACTTAATACTACCTCACTTAAAAACTCGTGCAAAAAACAAATGTTGCATTTTATTTGGAACAGAGAGAGTAATAATTTTATTTTTGAAAGGGGAGAAAATAGAAAATGACAAGTTTTCTACCGGAACGAGGAAGTATTTTATATATTTATAGTAAAAATATATCATAATACAATTTACTCATTTATATATTAAATAATTGTTGTAATTTAAAATTTAATATATTATTTAAAAACGTAGCCAAAGCCAAAATTAAAGCCCCCAACCCCGACCCTACTTGAACATACTCCTAAAGGAATTTGGACAACAAATTCCCAATGCAGGAAGCCCAATTCTTGGGATTTTCAATTGTATGTTTTTGCGATTTGAAGAGTGCTGCTGTTGATTCGATTGGGTGATTTGATTGGGAAATGCTTCGATTAAGATATTTACCATTGTTGGAAATTCTTGCTTCCCGACTGTTGACCTAATTTCGTTTTCTTCCCCTTTTTTTATGGTGTGTGATAGATACTTCCCGACTTGCATTTCACGCGCAATCCAATCATATATATATTTGTTTACGGTCAGGTCTGGGCAATGATTTAGAGTGAGAAAAAAAAGCAGGAGAAAATTGAAGAAATTCTGTTCGAGAAAATGGGGAATTCGTTTGGATGCTCTGCGTCGGGTGAGAGATTGGTATCGGCTGCAAGAGATGGTGATTTTGTTGAGGCAAAGATGCTGTTGGACTGCAATCCCTGCCTTGCGAAGTACTCTACTTTTGGTGGATTGAATTCTCCTCTTCACTTCGCCGCTGCTAAAGGCCACAATGAGGTATTGGGAAAACGAAATAAACCCTAATTTTTCTTCATATTCGAAAAAAATTGTGCGTTTTTTGCTTTTTGATGATTTCTGGAAATTCTGAGTTTTAGATTGTGGCATTGTTGCTGGAGAATGGAGCTGATGTGAATTCAAGGAATTACTGTGGGCAGGTACAGGAAAATTGGAAATTTTAGGGTTTGAAGTTTGTGTTCTTTGGGGAATGTTGTATCAGTCTTGTTCTCTGTTTGTTTACTTTGAATTCCTTTGTTAATAATTCCCCAATTTTCCGGGAAGATCGGATTGAGTTTTGATTTGAATTTGTGCATATTAACCTTTGCAGACAGCGTTGATGCAAGCTTGTCGATATGGCCATTGGGAAGTTGTTCAGACACTTCTCCTATTCAGATGCAATGTACGTTTATGGTTTCATCTTTCTTGTTTGAATTCGATACGAATCTTGTTTAGAACATGATTTAGTTTTAGATCTTCTCTTGGATTGTTCTTGACCTGTTATAGGTTCAAATATGTGTTCGAAAGCCATGTTCTTGTTATGTTTCAGGTTACCAGAGCTGATTATCTTAACGGGAGGACTGCTCTTCATTTTGCTGCCGTCCATGGACACATCCGTTGTATGAGATTAGTCGTTGCAGATTTTGTTTTGTGTGTGCCAAACGAATCTATAAATTCCCAAACATCGAGTGACAGAAATGATGGATCTCAATCTAAAGCAAGGTAAAACTTGTACCAAATTTGTGTTCTAATTGGGATTTTAAATGAGGATCTTATGCAAAAAGCTTTCTGCCGAAGTTTCAATTTCTTTATCATTTGTTTAATTGTAAATTTCCTTCGACTACAGCGCACTCTCCAAGCTCATAAACAAGGCTGCCGATGGTGGAATTACTGCCCTTCACATGGCTGCGTTGAACGGATACTTCGACTGCGTGCAGCTCCTGCTTGACCTTAAGGCAAATGTATCAGTTGCCACATTCCATTACGGAACATCCATGGATTTGATAGGTTCTTCAGTTAAATTAACTACAGATTATACATCTTCAAGATTCCTTTCATTTATTTATTGCTTAAGCTATCCCGGTTTTTATTCTCTTGCAGGTGCCGGAAGTAACCCTTTGCATTATGCTGCTTGTGGAGGAAATTTAAAGTGCTGCCAGGTCAGGTTTATTTCATGCTCATGGGATTTTATACTCCATCCGCAAGGAATAGATGCATTTATTTACGTGATTGTTTGTAGGCTCCCTAGATAGCAAACTATGTCTATTGTTAGCGGATGGATGGAATTTTTTTTACATATTCTGTGTGTTTTTCATTATCCGGAATCTATAATAACACCTCTTTCCCGCATCTGCAGATCCTTCTTGCAAGAGGTGCTAGTCGTTTGGCATTGAACTGCAATGGGTAAAAAATGCTCTATACCTATATTTCTTTGAAGTTTCGATTGCCTTACATGCCTTTGTATTACGTATGACTAATTTGTGCATTGCGTTAGATGGCTTCCGGTTGATGTTGCAAGGATGTGGGGTCGTCATTGGCTTGAGCCCTTATTGGATCCAAATTCAAATTTATCCATTCCAACATTTCCACTCTCTAATTATCTATCGTTGCCGCTCATAAGTGTGCTAAACATCGCACGGTAGTACATTAAATTCCGTCACCTTTCTATATCTATCTATCTATATATATATATATATTGCTTGAGTATTGGTCATTTACGGTGCTTTGCTGCAGAGAGTGTGGATTGCAGCATACACCTAGCGCGCCGGATGATGCTGAAATCTGTGCTGTATGTTTGGAAAGAGTATGCACAGTAGCTGCGGAAGGTGTGCCATCTCATTCGTATCGAATTACTATTTCCCGAGATCTTATTGTACTAATTCTGCTACATAATTCGGCACACAGGGTGTTCACATGAACTCTGCGTCAGGTGCGCTCTCTACCTATGCTCGACTAGCAGCATCCCGTCAGAATCATCAATCCCGCCTGGCTCCATTCCTTGTCCACTCTGTCGACATGGGATTACATCTTTTACCAAATTGCCCGGGTCCTCATCAAAGGAGATGAAACTACCTTTATCTCTTAGCTTATGCACACCGTGCGTTCTCCACCCGAGAGAACAGGATACATCTGAAGCTGCAGGTTCTCCCGATATGAGAAAGAGACACGTCAGTTCTGTATCGTCGGATATTTTCTGCCCCATCACCTGCACACCATTTCCTTCCATGACCATCCCGTTGTGCACGTGCAACGAAGGCCCGTGCCCTAAATTTGATTCTGGAGAAGCCGATCCCAATGAAGAGTCCCCTCAGCACTCACAAACTTTGCCGGATGAACATGAAAAGATGGAAGCGATGAGATTGGAGAAAACCACCTGTTCGAATATGTTTTGGGGTCGAAGAAGCTGCAGCAGAGAGAATCAGTGCAATGCCGAAATCAACACATGAGCCGGCACAAGAAAGGTCAAAATTTCACTCTTTCTTTTTTTTTTTTCCCTTGGCACGGTATCAATTCTAGATTAGTCGAGATTTTAGGGTTTTCGATTTGGTATCTGTGTGCCTTGGAATTGGATTTGCTTGCTTCTGCTTTCTTACACTGTAGTTTGATACGTATACATCTGCTCGATTGATTACATCATTCTGTACGTGAAGAAAATGATCTATTATATCCGAACACTATCTTCATGTCGAACTTGTGTTCCACTGTAATCGATTTGTTTTACAATGAGAGTAGTAGCATTCTTCCCCTGTTTCTCTAAATTGTAAGCTATGCTTTTAGTGATCTTGCGAAAGAAAATGCCATGTTATTACATCGAATTTAGTCTCAGTTACATTTACCATCATGAGACAAATCGAATATGAAAAGATAACATTAAACATCTTGAAAGGCATGCTGTTTCTGCACATCTCGTTTTCTCTTATCTTCTTCTGCAGGCAGTCTCTCTTTGTGCATTAAAGTACATCGCAGCCACCGGAAGCCCTAATCCATTCTCCTCCGCAAATCTCCTGGTTTCGAAATGATCCCGCGAAGCAGGTGCCGTCACAGTATGCCTCGACCGCTGCTTGAACAATACAAAAACGTATCTATGGATACCGATCACTGGCTTCGGAGGCTCGTAGCTTGCAATCTCCCTCCCTGATTCAGGTAACTTATCTTCAATCAATTGCTCCATATTTTTTATAAATTTTCGAATACGTGTGTTTAGATATGGTTTAGAAGTATTTCGAGATTTTGAGTAGGTTTGGTAACAGTAAAAATTGAATAGAAGATACGGTTATAGTTAATATGTCCTAGAAGTGTTTTAGAGTTTTCGAGAGTTATGAGCTAGTAAAAAGGTTGAATAAATAATAGATATTTGATGTGATATAAGATTTTAAATGAAACATAGTTATATGATATGCTTCTTTTTTTTCCGAGAAAGCGGACTATTGATAAACAGTAGAGCTGTAGACGAGCCGAACAGAACCAAGCTTGTCATGTTTGAGTTCGGCTCGTTAAGGATTCGAGCTCGGCCCGTGTTCGTTCGTTAAGAGATACGAGTTAAATTTTTTTTTAGTTCGACCCATTTAGCAATTTTTTTGTTCATATTCGGCTCAGCTCAACTCGTTAAGAGAAATTTTATTTTATTTATTTAAATTTTTTTAAAAAAATAAATTCAATTAATAATAATTATAAAATTTATTAATAAATTTAAATAAAAATAAAATGAAATATAATATTTATAAAGATATATATACTTATTAATTTAATTTTTTAAATAAATATTGTCGAATGTTCGCGTACAAGCTCGAGCTCATTCATGAACAGCCCAGGCCAAAATTTATGTTCATGTTTGGCTCGTTTAGCTTAACGAACGAGGTTTTAGCAAGCTCAAACGAGCCGAACTGACCCAAGTTCGCGAACTGTTCATTTGTTTTATAACTGTGATGAACAGTGCCAAAATTGATTTGAAACCATATGTAGATAGAGCCCAAGTATAAATAGGCATTTTGTTACTTGTTCAGATGTTTTGAATAACAAAAAAATATTCATATATGTTAAACAAAAAACATGTATTAAATATGATATTTTTAGAGAAAAAATTATGAATAATGCGGAAACAATTTTGAAAACACAAGTATACAGAGTCGTAGAATCTATTTAGATATAGAGTTTTGAAGTTTTGAAAAAAATTTAAAATAGTAAAAAGTTCTTATTTGACATAATGTTTTGTAAAAAAAGAAATATATTAGACGTAGTATTTTTGAAAATTTTATTACAGATGAATAGTGTCACAAGTTCTAAAACTGTTTATAAATAGAGCCGTAGTTTCTTGTAACAGAGACTGACCAAACGATGCATCGGTGGTGCCTGGAATGTCTGTAACAATCCTGCAAAAAAAATTGTCAACTATTTAAATACATTTTTTTTTCCTCCATATGTTAGATTATTTATTCAAATCGACGATACCAACCAGTGGAGATGCTCCCGCAAGTATGGATCGCTGGGGCCGGGAACATCAGGATCGGTCATCACCTACAACGACCGAAGTAAAAAGAACACGGTAAGAACACTAATCATGCTCGAACGAATCCCACATTATTATTTTACACGAAACTCTTACAAGAGTATATGCACCCCTCATGTCGTCTCCGCCTATTTCGACCCGCGGCTTAGCTGTAATAACCGCGGGCATGAGCTCGCGCCCGTTGGACACTTGTTTGTTGATGTTGTAGGTGATCCTGAGTTTGACGCTCGGGACAAAGCTGTCGACGACCTCCCCGATAACTCCTCCGACGGACAGCGTCGACATTTTTAAATCGGACGGCTGAGGAACGGACAGAGCCCGATGAGGTAATGTAGTGAGTTTTATTGTGTGTATGTCTTTCGACGTTTGGGGGATTTTATAGAGGGAGGATTTTGGGGGGAAGGGATGGACGGGTGGGATTGATTCTCAGATGGATGATCGAACGGACTGTGTGTAGTGTCTAAATGCAGTGCAAAATAGTGTTGAACGTTGATGAATTGGGAATCGTTGGGTAATTATTGCTGTGGGGGTTGTAATGAAATTGAGGGGACACGTGTCGTGGGGGGATTGGGTTGGGGAGAATGTAAGAATAGAGGCTTCTTTTCATCGTGGGGATTGAGGAATTCCGCATTGACATGTTTTCTTAGGGAATCTTGACACGTGGAAAGTGTTCGAAGATCGAAAAGGGTCGTGCAAATGAATGCCCTCGTTTCCTGATGTAGTATGAGGAGGATGCTCTTAGTTACCTCTTCTAATGTGGGCTGCTTATGGTGTCAAATCATAATATCATATAGATGATCTTTAAATACTCCATCCGTCCACTTACTGTATACACGGGGATCTAGAATCTAATTAGTAGATAATTAAAAATGTATTAGTAAAAATAATTATTCTATAATATAAATAATTATAAATTAAAATTAAGATAACTAATTAATTTAATTAAAATTAAAAAAATAAATTTAAAATGAAATTAAAGTGTATAATTATTTTTCAAAAAAAGAAAAGTGATATGGTACGTGGGACGGACAGAAACGGCAATGTGGACATGGTATCTGGGACGGAAGGAGTATTTATTCTGGCGTCCAATTATGTACTTATTTGATCTAATATGATAAAATCGATAAAAATAAAAAAAATTTATTTCCTCCGTTCCAATAGAGTTGTTTTGTTTTTCTATTTTCGTTCGTTTCAAAATAATTGTTTTGTTTTTCTATTTTCGTTCGTTTCAAAACAATTGTTTTGTTTTTTTATTTAGTAACGGTGGTCTCTATATTATAACAAAATTATTCCTATTTTTTCAAGTTTTCATTAATTATTACTCTAACTTATCCCATGTCCATTCCAAATAAGACATATTTTATGGGACGAGGGAGTATTTTTTAAGATAAAGAAAAAGTAGAAAAAATGTGATATTTTTACTAAAAAATGAACATAAATTTATTAGAAAACAAAATAATAATTAGGGCAGAACTGATAATCACTTAAAAATTTCATATCCAAATGATCATTTAGGCACTTACTGATCTTATTAATTATTTTTATATTTTTACCTATTTAAAAGCATGTCATCAATATAGATTAATAAGAAATGTTGACTACTCTTTTAAAATACAAATAGCCATATTTTCTTTTAAAATTTACAGATTTTATATGCTCATTAAACTTTAAATTTCATCATGTAGGTGATTGCTTTAAATCATAAGAAGATTTTTTTAAGTAAGTTTTTTTATCCACAAAACTCTCGGGTTGATTCATATATATATACATATATGTTCATCTAAATCACCAAGTAAAAAAAAAAAAGAAAAAAACTTTTTTACATCAATTTGTTTATATTTTTAACCAAGATGTGTCACCAAGCAAACATAACATGAACGGTATAAAATTTAACAATCGGATAAAATATTTCATTATAATTAATATATCTTTTTGTATAAATATTTTTTTACTAATCTTGTTTTAAATCTAATATTTATTTTTTTTTGTCATTTTTAATCTTAAATAGCTATTTGCAATCAATGACAAAACACTGGTTTTGGGATTAATTTTCAAATTTTATTCACTTTTAAAGAGTTTATATTTTTTTTAGACATTTCATTTACACAAGGACCAACGCTAGTTTCACACACTTAAATCACTAGGTTTATTTTAACATTATTATTTTTAGTAGGAATAGACTGTGGATTAATTTCACTACTCTGAAAATAAATAAATAATTTCTTTAAATCATAAAAACTAACAGAATATTACCAAAGTCTACAATATTTGAACTGGTATTACCATCATTAATATTTTTATTTAAACATAATGTTAGAACTTATCAAGAATTTAACATAAGCTTAGAATCTATAGTGTTAAAATAATTGAGATAAGAAAATAAAGCTAATTAGATCTAACTTTATTCCATTAACATAGTCGAATTCAAATCTGCAAACAATGGAGGGTTTTGTGTTCTTTAAGTCTATGGCGCAACCCCTTTTGAGAAAATCGCTAGTGTTTCTGCCGTTACTCCCACGATGAGATATGGAACGTAATGGATATTGCGTCTGGATCACAACCCTATTTATATCCCTTTGTATTGATTGGCTTCATCATCCAATTAATAAGTTATCGGGTTTTTGTACATTGGAGGCCCGCATTTACTAAACATATTTAACCCCAATAAATTAATAGATACTTAATCTGACTGATAGCCAAGGGTGTGTTTGTTTGGGGGTTTGGATTTTGAGTTGGGACTTGAATAGTAAAAATTTTGAATTTGAATAGTTGTATGATGTGATATAAATAGGTGTTGATGTGATGTTTTGAATGTAAAATTGATTTTTAGTATAATATAAAAAATGAAAAATAAGTGTTTGATTTGATGTTTTTGGGGGAAAAAAATTGGATGAATAGTGTAAATTCAATCCAATCCCCCAAACAAACACAATTTTTAATCCAACACATAACATATCTTATTTTAAGTGAATTATATGTATATAAATATATTATAAATTTAGTTAAATTGATTTATATTGGTTAAATATATTTAAAATGAATAAATTTATTAAAAATAAAAAAAGTAATTTTTATCTTTTATTATACGGATTAAAAAAAAAAAGAAAAAGAATCATGTGTGTGACTAAACGAAAATAATACGTTGACCAACTTGGTCGCTCTCGTGGGCCACATTATTATTACTATGTTGTTGACACGTAAGCAAGTTGTAAAAGAAATTGCCCTTTCTAATTGGAATTGGTCACATTCAATCAAAAATTTCATTCCTTATGCTTAATGCATCTCTCTTTGCAACGTGTAACCTTGACAAAATTTAGAATATATATATATATATATATCTTTTAAAAATTAATAATACTATATAAGATATTTTATGAAAAAAATACATAGTGACGTGTGATAATTGCTAAAATCTATGAAAAAAATACATAGTGACGTGTGATAATTGCTAAAATCACTAAAACAAAAATTTATAATTTGGTTGGTTATAGTTGGAAATATATTAAAATGTATTCTAAATTGCATTTTATATGCGTACAATAGATTTATATATAATATACTGCTTCATAATATATTACTCTCTTTGTCCCGTATAAAGACTAATATTTATTTTTTACATATGGATTTCTCAATACTAGTATTATATTGAATTATAGTTAAAAAGATAAATTATCTTTATTAGTATTATGTAATATAAAAGTTGTGGTATTTGTGTAATATATTGTAAGTTGAAAGGGTATTTAGTACAATTACTAAATTAAAAAAATAGTACATTTGATTTGGGACTGACGAAAATAAAAAATAGACCCTTCTTATGGGACGGAGGAAGTATAGTTAAAAATAAATTATATATAATTATATTGTTTAATGATAAAAAATTATACTACTAATTAATTAATTAAGTACACGATTCACTTTTATCAGTACAATATTGATTATATTTGATTAACACTATATTTGCTGTCAATACTAAAACACGCCTAAAAATGGCCTACAATTTTGTGGGGTGTAATTATAACCGGTAAAAATAAGCACGATTCAAAAATTTCGATCCGAATTCGGCATGGAAAAAAAAAAAAAAAAAGTGTTTGGATCTAAAAAGATAGACCCGAAATTATCGGACCATACTTAGCCTAGCACGATAATAAACTGGTAGTGCCTAGGCCCTCAAGATCGGGCCCTGCCTAGCCCGGCCCAATTTTTAATTTCAATATATTTAAATTAAATAATTTTATAAATATATAAACAAATAAGTATATATCAAAAATTGAAGTATAGTTTAATGGTTCCATGTTTTATATTTATCATTCAAGATTTTATTAATTTTTTTATTAAAAAAATATTAATTGAAAAATAAAAAATATTAAAATCGGCTAGCCCGGCACGGTTTTGACTCGGGCCATGTCCGGGGCTGGATTTCTAGGCCCGATATAATACCAAAGTGGGCTTGACCTGACCTAAAATAAATCAAATCGAGCCAAGCCGGGCTGAGCCGGATCGAAACGAAAAAATCGGATTGGCCCGATATTGTCACCTCTGGTGTCATTAAAATCCTTAAAACATCCTAAATAAAGGTTGTTAAGTATTAGCATACATAAGTGGTTGTGTAGTAAATAACCAACCCATAATTAAAAAACAACTAAATAATTTTTACAGTAGTATTTAATTATAAGTAGTAGGGGCCATCACACTGAACAAGAGTCGTTGCTTATTATTATTATTATTATTATTATTATTGTTATGCTTCAAACCATCCTCAATTAACGAAAACTGATGGAGTATTATTATTGCTGCACACCTGTGACAATTAAATCAATCTTAATAATACAGATATACTGGAGTTTGTCCGCGAAAATATTAATTACTTCCTCAGTCCAAAAAGTATAGTCTTATTGTATTGGATATGAGATTTAAGAAATATTGATATTACATTGATAGTTGATAAAAAGTAAAGATAAATAACTTTTTTGTCATTGTGAGTATATTAGTGTAAAAAGTAATGGCAATTGTGTAATAATAATGAAAAGTAGGGACAATTTTATAGTGATATGATTATTTATGGAAATGAAACTATTATTTTGGGACGGACAAAAATGGTAAACAAGACTATATTGTATTGGAACAGATGGAGTATTTTTTGTTTTTTTTTTATATACATTTTAAATTAACTTCTTTTTATTCTTTTATGACGTTGTGATTTCTTTCTATTTTGTAATAAATTTATCAATTTTAAACATATTTATTAATTAATAAATTTAAGTAAAGTTCTAGAACCATCAAAATTTCTTTATTTTTATATATGTTCAATTAACAAGTACTATTTTCGTCTCATAACAATGTATTCATTTTTTTATTTTAGACTGTCACATAACTAAATATTCATTTCATTTTTTAGTAATTATATTATCTGACTAACATTACAAATACCCTTACAACTTACAATATATTACACAAATACCATTACATTTATATCACACCATACTAATAATATTATTTTAGTCGTTTTTACTTTATTCCTACTACATCCGAATATAATACTAATATTTATAAAATTACATGCAAAAAGCAAACGGATACCTAATTATGATACAAATAGAGTATAATTTTGTATATATTTATTGAGATATAATGATAAATTTCTTTTAATTACTAAATATCTCATCTTCTAACTAAATAGCTAATCTATTCTATCAACTTATCGTGCCTAAACAAAAGACATTATCTTTTGCGTGAATTTAGAAGGTAATATTTTATATATGAAGTACAATAGATAGATTAATATACAATTTTATATTTTTTGATATTTTTTATATAACTAAATTATATTGACGGAATTGTTATATACTTTCTCATTCGTAGCTAAATCAGTATTTTTTATATTACATATAAACTTTTTTATTTTACTGATATTATTATAATAATATATTAAATAAATATTAAACAATACATAATTATTATTGACACAAAGAGAATAATATGCATGTTTTTTTTTTTAAAAAAAATGAAAATCATAATAATCTCAAGTCATAATAAGATATTTTACATAGTGAAATTTATTAACAATTTTATAAAACAATACACAAAAATTCATGGATTATTTAAATTCATAAATTGTTGAATACATAATTTTTTTTACAAATTTTTTAAAATTTAGATTGAATACATGCAAATTTTGAAAAACTTTTAAAAATTTAAATTGCATGTATTCATATTTTAAAAGATTTAAAATTTTTTAAATTGAATACATCTAAATTTTGAATCAAATAAACTCTACTGAATACATTCACAATGGGTGTTTAGACCATCTCCAACACATAATTCCATTTTTGCAGCGTCTACGGTATATTTTTTCATTTTTACTGGTTTAAAAAATATTCTCTTTATATTTTATTTTACATAATTTTTAAAATTACAAATAAAATTTAATATTTTATTATTTTTTATACATTTAAGTTATAATTGTATTTTTAATTAATATTTTAAATATTATACCGATAAAAATATAAAAAAAATTAATGCAATTTTTTATTTTGTTGATGATATTTAAAAAATTTAAAATTAAATAAATATAAAAAAGAAATAGATAACTACATAAATAAATAGATAATATTTTAAAAAAAGTAGATAATTATATAAATAAATAGATAATATTACTCCCTCCGTCCCAAAAGAAGTGGTTTATTGAGAGTTGACTAAAATGTGTTTGTTTTTTTAAGGATTTTAAAGAGTATGTTAGAGTAATAATTATGGGTAGTATGTAAAAGTATGAATAATTTTGTTATAAAATGGGGACTACGGCTACTAAATAAGAAAACAAGACAATTGTTTTTGGACGGACGAAAATAGAAAAATAAGATAAATCTTTTGGGATGGAGGGAGTATTAATTTAAAACGAAGCCAAATATCCCGGGACCTCATCGCCAGAATAATCGCCACCGTCCATCATACTATGGAACAGCGTGTTTGTTTACTCGTGGTTTACGCAAAAGTGGAACAAATAATTGAACTGTTTCAGTGACAAAATTGAAGTGAAGGCAAACGAGGCCGACGGCAATCATGAAGTGAAAATCTATTAATGCCAAGGTAAAGAAATGATGCAAAAGTTTCAGAAGTAGTCTTTGTTTGTTTGTTTCCTGTGCAGAGACACCTGAAATCTGGGGCTCTTTTCACTTTCCCATTCCCATTTTTATGCACCACCGTCCCATCCAATATCTTTTTTACATCCAAACAAGTCACGGTAGTTATCTAGTGCTTCAAGAGACCCCGGGAGTTCAGAACCTGATTCGCATCTGTGCCGTCAACTGCGGAATCTCATTTTCATCAAGGGTACAGATGTGTCTGCCTTTTGCTCCAGGACCTTCCAATATATCTACCTAATCCACTATACTTTTTTACTAAAAGTAGAAAATTAATTTAATACTCCATAGCTAATACAGTACGCATTTTTAATTTGGAATGTTAATTCTTATTTTACATCAATTTTTTTTTTTTTATTTTTATATATATATAAAATATATATAATTACATTATTTTTAACTATACACTATAATTAGAATATTATTATTTTTTAAAATTACTTCTCAATTGGACTGATGGAGTACTTAGTTTATTACTATCCCTTTGCACTTAATTTGTCAATTATTTTTATTTTCGTATGTCTATAATTTGTCATTATTGGATATATAATTATACACTTTAATTCATATTTTAAAATTTATAATTTATAATTTTTAAAATTTTAATTAAATTATTTAATCATTTTAATTTATAATTATTTTTATTAATATAATTTTTAACTATTTATTAATTATACAATATTTAAAATTTCGTGTCTAATCAAAATGGGATAATTTAAGTGAGACAAATATAGTATATTTTAACGCGATTTTCCTTTATTTTTAAGTTTACACTTTTATAATATATAAATATTGCTATTAATTTTTATTAATTATGACAATTGCTAACTGATTTTAAATTGGAGTTAAAGTTTATATTTGGGTCAAGAAAACTTTTTTGACTAAAATTATTTCTGCATTCATTGGCAGTGGGTTTTAACTTAAATTTGCATTTATTATGATATTTAATAGTACAAATTAATGTTCTTGTAAAATTGCACGTTCATAATAAAATAATAATAATCACAAAATTACAAATCCAAGCAAATCCACGAAGGGTAGTATGGTCAATTCACTTCTGGCCCAAGAGAATCAATATCATCATGAAAACTGAAAGACTGATGAGTTTATAGGGAACAGTCTGACACTCCTACGACGCTTTCCGTATGATTATTTTAGCAAGATCCAAGGACCACAGATCCACACCATATCTGTGCCGTTAAATAGTTGGAACTTACAGAATAAACGGCGAAAATGAGCGGGATCTGAGGTCCTGACTCCAAGAAAGCAACATCTTTGAGATTCTCAGCTGAAACGACGCCGTTTCGCGCTCATCTTCTTGTACGGCTGATAAAATAAATCGAAAATAAAAAAAGATTTCGAATTTTGTACCTTCGCCTCCATCTTCATGCCCCCCAACAAACTGCGTACCCTCCCTCTCTCTCTCTCTCTCTCTCTCTCTCTCTCTCTTCAAGCTTTCTCTCTCTAGACTACATTATGAGGAGGAGTGTGCAATGCGATTGCAGCATTATATGAAGAAATTGGAAAGGGGGAAAGGGTTTTTAATTTTACTTCTGCAAAAATTTCAGAGCACTATGAGGACGACAATGGCGTCCAATCTATTCGTCTTCTTCAATTTGTTCATCACTGTTATTCAACCTTTCTTCTTCAATGTCGATTCTGTGCAGACAACGGAAATGTCCGATAGGGACAATCTTCTCTCGTTCAAAAACTCCCTCGAAAACCCCGAAATTCTCCTCTCATGGCAGCCATCGATTCCCCACTGCAATTGGACCGGCGTTTCCTGCACCGACGACCGTGTCACGTCGCTCGTTCTCTCGACTCAGTCTCTCGCTGGTCCTCTCTCTCCGGCGGTGTTCGCCGTCGCCGGCCTCGTCGTTCTCGATCTTTCTGCAAATCAGTTAAACGGCGTCGTTTCGGCTGAAATAGCTACTCTGAAAAGGCTTAGGGTTTTGGATTTGGGGCATAACCGCCTCAGCGGTGAGTTACCGAGTCAGATTGGCGAGTTGACTCAGCTGCAGACTCTCAGACTTGGGCCTAATTTCTTCGCCGGAAAAATCCCGCCGGAGCTCGGAATGCTGTCGAACCTCCAATCCCTCGACCTGTCGGGAAATTCCTTCTCCGGCGATGTCCCTCCCCATATTGGAAACTTATCACAGATTCAAATTCTGGCCATTGGGAATAACTTTCTTACAGGTTCGTTACCTCTGAATCTTTTATCAAAGCTTCGATTTCTGTCTTCATTCGACGTCTCGAACAACTCCATCTCCGGCGAAATCCCGCCGGAAATTGGACAGCTCACCTCTTTAATCGAGCTCTACATTGGCGAGAACCATTTTTCCGGCAGGTTTCCGGCGGAGATCGGCGAATTGTCGAAGCTCGAAATCCTGTCGGCGCCATCCTGTTTGTTGAAAGGCCCTTTGCCGGAGACATTCTCGAAGCTCAAATCGTTGAGCAAACTCGACCTCTCTTACAACCCGTTGCAATGTCCGATCCCCAAAATCGTCGGAGATATGCAAAACTTGACTGTAATGAATCTCGTTTATTCCGAGCTTAACGGCAGCATCCCGTCAGAGATCGGAAAATGTAAGAACTTGAAGGTTTTGCTGCTGTCGTTCAATTCCCTGGCCGGAGCTTTGCCGGAGGAGCTTTCCGACCTCAATTTGATGACGTTTTCGGCTGAAAAGAATCAGTTTTCCGGGGCATTGCCTTCGTGGATCGGGAAATGGACGGAAATCGATTCGATTTTGCTTTCGAACAATCGATTTTCCGGCAAAATCCCACCGGAAATCGGGAATTGTTCGATGCTGACTCACATTAGTTTGGGGAGTAATTTGCTTACAGGAGAGATCCCTAAGGAGCTCTGTAATGCCGTTATGCTTTCGGAGATCGAATTCGATCACAATTTCCTGTCCGGCAGCATCAACGAAACGTTCGTCGATTGTCGCAATTTGACGCAGCTTGTTTTGCTTGATAATCATATCGTTGGATCGATTCCGGGCTACTTCGCCGAGCTTCCATTGATGCTTCTAGAATTGGATTCGAATAACTTCACGGGATCAATCCCGGTTAGCTTTTGGAGATCGTCGAATTTGATCGAGTTTTCCGCTGCGAATAATCAGCTGGACGGGTTTCTCCCCGCCGAGATCGGAGACGCCGCTTCGCTTCAAAGCATCGTTCTTTCGAACAATCATATTCGCGGTCGAATCCCGGGGGATATTGGGAAGTTGAATTCGCTCTCGGTGCTGAATCTGAATTCAAATTTTCTCGAAGGGAACATTCCGGCGGAGATCGCTAATTGCACGGCGCTTACGACGTTGGATTTGGGGAACAATCGTCTCGACGGTCCGATCCCGGATGGAATTGTCGATCTGCCACAGCTGCAGTGTCTTGTACTTTCGTCAAACAATCTGTCCGGCGCAATTCCTTATAAGGATTCGAAGTATTTCCAGCAGGTTTCGGTGATTCCCGACTCGATCTACTTCCAGCACCATGGCGTCTATGATCTTTCGAACAACAGATTGAGTGGCGAAATACCTGAAGAGCTCGGGAGCTGCGTCGTTATCGTCGATCTTTTGCTGAACCACAATTTGCTGTCCGGGAGGATACCGAAATCGTTGGCGAACTTGTCGAATCTCACGACGTTAGACCTATCCGAGAATCGGTTGACAGGAAGTATTCCTCGCGAGCTCGGTGATTCGGTTAAGTTGCAGGGATTGTATCTCGGGAATAACCTGATAACAGGATCGATACCCGAAGGTCTCGGCCGGTTGCTCAGATTGGTTAAACTTAACCTTTCGAATAACGTTTTGTCGGGTTCGGTGCCTCCGAGTTTCGGCGATTTGAATGCGCTCACCCATTTGGATTTGAGTCGGAATTTGTTGACCGGCGAGCTTCCGGCGACGCTCTCGAAAATGATGAATCTCGTGGGTTTCTACGTTCAGCAGAACCGTCTCTTGGGACGTCTAATCGAGCTTTTCAAGAACTCGATAAATTGGAGAGTCGAGATCGTGAACTTAAGTCGGAATTCATTCTCCGGCGACTTGCCGAGGTCTTTGGGAAACTTATCATACTTAACGATCTTCGATGTACATGGAAACAGCTTCACCGGAGAACTTCCGTCGGAGCTCGGAAATCTTGCGCAGCTCGAGTATCTCGATGTTTCAGAAAACCAGTTGGTCGGAGAGATCTCCGGCGACGTCTGTGGCCTTTCGAATCTCGAATTCTTAAATCTTGCGAAGAACGATCTGCGCGGCGAAATTCCGCGACAGGGAATCTGTCGAAATTCGTCGAAAGTATTCGTATCCGGGAACGAAAACCTCTGCGGCGAAATCACGGGGCTAATATGTCCGGCAACGACGAGCGTTGCTCGAAAGTCGTCATTTCCTTTGAATGTCTGGGGGCTTTCGTCAGTCGTGTTGGGATCAATCTTCGCAGTAATTTCCGTTATTGTCGTGGTTCGACTCCGGGCGAGCCGGAACGATCCGGAAGACATGCACGATGGCAAGACAAACATCGCCGACGAACAGAATCTCTATTTCCTCAGCAGCAGCCGATCGAAGGAGCCGTTGAGCATCAACGTCGCGATGTTCGAGCAGCCCCTGTTGAAATTGACACTCGTTGACATTCTCGAAGCTACTGACAACTTCTGCAAGGCGAACGTAATCGGCGACGGCGGGTTCGGGACGGTGTACAAGGCGACGCTCCCTGACGGGAAAATCGTCGCCGTGAAAAAACTCAGCCAAACAAAAACCCAGGGCCAGCGCGAGTTCCTCGCCGAGATGGAGACGCTTGGGAAAGTGAAGCATCGAAACCTCGTCCCGTTGCTCGGCTACTGCTCGTACGGCGACGAGAAGGTGCTTGTCTACGAGTACATGGCGAACGGCAGCCTCGACAGCTGGCTGGCGAATCCGACGGGGACGCTCCCTGTCCTCGACTGGGCGACGCGGCTGAAAATCGCGACGGGAGCGGCGCGTGGGCTCGCGTTCCTCCACCACGGGTTCATCCCGCATGTGATCCACCGCGACGTGAAATCGAGCAACATTTTGCTCGACGACGGGTTTGAGGCACGGGTCGCGGATTTCGGGCTGGCGAGGCTGATCAGTGCATGTGAGACGCACGTGAGTACGGATATTGCCGGGACGTTCGGGTACATTCCGCCAGAGTACGGGCAGAGCTGGAAGTCGACGACGAGGGGGGATGTGTATAGTTTTGGGGTCATTTTGGTGGAGTTGGCGACAGGGAAGGAGGCGACAGGGCCGGAGTTTAAGGGGGTCGAGGGCGGGAACTTGGCGGGGTGGGTGGTGATGAAGATGAGGGGGGGCCGGGCGGCGGACGCGCTCGATCCGAAGATACTCGACGCGGATACGAAGCCGATGATGCTGAGGATGCTGCAGATCGCCGGCGTTTGCCTGTCAGAGAATCCGGCGAGCCGGCCGACGATGCTGACTGTGCTTAAGTTCTTGAAGGGAATTGGTGAGTAAGATTACACGGAGGTTATATATAGATCTATATCTATATATTATATATATATATATGTGTGTTTGTAGTAGGTATTTGTTGTTTCGGGTGTGTTTTTTTTGTTATTATTGAAGGTAATGAATGTATTTTGATTTTGTTATGTGGTATAGTATGGTAAAGGTGGTATTGAAGTTTGTACGGTGGAAATTTATTACATGTTGCTGTGGGATTTGACGGTAAATTAAGATGTTCTGGAATTTAGTATGTTTTAGGTAAATTTTTGATCGGATTTAATAATTTACAAGTTTTGCTGGTAAGGTAAATCTTACGATAAAATAATTGATTTTTATCAAAAACAATACTAGTTAAAACATAATTATTTTGAAATTGAAATTAGATGCTTGGTCAATTTAATTCAAGTTTCAAATACTCTTCCGTCCGTTTCAATTTCATTCCACTTTATATCGTATTTATCTTGAGTACTTAATAAAATCATTATATTTATATAATTTTTATATAAATATTTTTTATTAATATTATAATATGTTAATGAAAATATTTTTTAAATTTATTTTTTAATTTATATTATATTTTTATATAATAATTAATATTTAAAAATTAGCAAGCAAAGTATAAACACTCTTATAAACAGACGAAGAAAGTACGGTTTACTAATACTATTGCAGTCAATGGTTCAGCTGATCAAACGTGCTATCGTTCATTTCATCAATTCATTCTTCGTCGCAATATTAAATTTTATTATCTAATACAATTCTAGTAATTACTCACTCTGTTCCACATATCATGTTCATATTATCATTTCTGTCCGTCTCACGTACTATGTCATTTTTCTTTTTTAAAAATAATTACATACTTTAATTTTATTTTAAACTTTTTAATTTTATTTTTTTAAAATTTTAATTAAACTAATTAATTATCTTAATTTTAATTTATAATTATTTATATTATCGAATAATTATTTTCACTAATATATTTTTAATTATCTACTAATTAGATCCCTTCTAAAATACCGAATCTACATTGTAGCAGACAAGACACGGTACGTGAAACTGAAGGAGTAATATTTAATTTTAAATGAAATAAAAAAACTATAAAACTGGTAAAAAATTTTAAAATAAAAAAAATGAAAGTATCTTTTAATCCCTGATTATAATTAACCCTATCAAAATTAAGTAAAACTTTAAAAATTATACAAATAAAAATAAATCCTATATATTATAAAAAAAGAAAGGCACTTCTAATTTCTACCCACACACAAAAAGAGATACAATTATAATGCGCGGTATAAATATTATTCCCACTTCGAACAATTTAAAACTTAAAAATAAAAATAAATAAAAAACGACAACACGCTCCACTTAAATTAAGAACCTTCGTGAAAGGACGCCTATAGGAAAAAAGGCTGTCGTGACACGTGTCCCAGCCTCGCACGTGTCAAGTTCCAGACTACCTTTCTGCCGCCCCCGCACAGCCTTCTACACTGTTCTACACACATTCCATTTCCCCCTGGTTTTAATCGCCTACATTAATCCCCACCGTACGTGCGTCAATTGCACACCCTTTGATTTCTAGAGCTGCTCCGATCGAACCACGATGACCGTTGATCTTCATCTACGTTATCTTCATCCATCGGCTCAGATTTAATCTCGCCTCCCGGCTGCTGCAGCTGCAAATCCATCTCCGATTCAGAGCAACCGGCGCCGCCGTCGCCTTCCCGGCCGCGCTTCAGGCACAGCGGAACTCCGAACAGTCTCGCCGTCATCTCCTCCGCTGCTGATCTGATGTTGCTGGCTTCGCCAGACGCGGCGGCGCCGGATTTCTGCAACTCTTCGCAGAATCTCGTCATCGGTAACAGATCCAGCGGCTTCAGGATGTTTTCCTGTAGATTTAATTTGCAGCTGCGGATTTGGCGGTCTTCACCGGCGGCGGTGGCGGAGGTTGCGTAATTGGACATTAGAGAGTATATATTGCTGCATAGGCTTTTCATTTGAGTCAATTCCTTGTTGAGCTGCACGTTTTCTTTTCTCAGCCTCTCGTTTTCTCCGATTAGCTCCACGGTGGTGCCGCTGAACTCCGGTACGGCGGTGAGGGAATTGGAGGAAGAAATTACCTGTTCCTCGCCGGAGTCCGATGGAGACACCGTTCTCAGCGGCAGAGCTGGACACGGCTGCACCGTTACCGCTATAGCAGCTTGAGTAGCCACCGCGACCGGCGCCGCCGTCAAAACTTTCCGGCGATGAATATCGCAGAGAAGCTTTTTCTCGCCTCTCCGAAAGCATTCATTTGAAAATTCCCACCGATCAGGTACGACTTTTCTGAATCCCTGCGAATGTTCATTTCTACCAAATCAATCAACAGCAACAAGTATTGGAAAATTTCTCCCAAACTTACAGATAGATGATCAAAATCTTACGTAAGTGTTGAGCTGCCGGACGAAACTGGAGAAATTGTTGTGCTTAAAATACTTAGGCAGCAAATCTCGAGCAAACTCTGTCGGATTCCAAACGATGAAAGCAGATCCGTCTTCGTTCCAGGAGATGACTTCATCAATGGCGTGGTCTTCTACAAGCTGATAAGTTTTAGTCAAAAACGGCGTCGGAAGAGATCTCGCCGCATCACCGGCCGTCGATTCGCCGCCGCCGCTGCGATCCACCGGTGGCGGAGCCATACAGCTTCCCCTAACCGTAACCTACATCAATCGAAAGATAATGAAAATCTACACATCAAAAACAACATCAATTCACCAAACAACAGCAAAATCCACACTTACAGACGTCAATTCAGCTGATCAATTCCTCGAGAGATCCAACTGAGAGCGCAGAGAAAGTCGTCTAGAAGGTTCCGAGTATGAATAAATACATTTAAGAGAGAGAAATGAGAGAGCAAAAGAAGAAACTTTTGGATCGAGAGACCGTCAAAGACCAAAAAGAAGAAAAAAAAAATGAGAAAAGAAAGGACGAAAAGCAAAAGGGTAAGGAAATAACAAAGGAAAGAACGAGAAGCTTCGTCTGACGTGGCGGGTTCTGATTGGCGGGAGCGTACAGCTAAGTAATTCTGGATTTGGCGGAACGGAACTGAACAGAACAGAAACGGAAATAGCGTGTGTTGAAAATTCTAAAAGCGTGTTCTGGTGCGCAGACTTTATTATATTAACCTTTACTTAATAATATACTACAAACTTGATCGGTTACTAATTTTAATAAAATGACTCAAAATGAAAATTTTTTAAAGTAAAAAAATATAGAAAAGTGATATTTTATCAAAATAAAAAAATATATATAATTCATTTATTTTTTTTATTTTTTTTGATAAGGTAGGAATTCGAAAGTATTTTTTTTAATTTATCTGTATATTTTATTTCAAAAGATAAAATTGTAAAAATTATTATACATAGTCTATTTTATTAATAAAATTGTATATAAAAGAAAAAGTAAGTGGATTTTATTATGATGGAGGGGGTACTTTTTCATAAATTTATAGTTATTTGAATTGAATATAATATACTAATATTTTTTTTATTTATGATATAAAGTATAAATATTTTAAAAAATATATAAATTAATTAATAAAATAGAAGAATTTTTTAATAAATTCAATGTGCAATTAGTAGTGATGTATTTATAAGTAAATATAATAATATAGATTAAAGAGTAATAACGAATTGTTTGTTTTGATAAAAAATTTTAATATATATCTTTTAAAAATATAAGTTATTATATATATTTATTACTTTTATATTATTTATATATTTTTTTATATGTTATATAAAAGGAATTCTTTAGACCAATATATAAAATAAACAAACCCTAAGTATGTTTGTTTTGTTTTAAAGAAAAATATTGTTCATCATTTATTGTTTTCAATAAAAACTGTCCAGTAAATTTTATATTATTTTGTTTTGCAAAATTATAAATAAAGTGCCATATTTTCATAAATAACTAAATTTAAATTATTATTTTAATTTTAAATTAGAATCAAACAAGTCCATAGCAATAAATAATAAGCTTAAGTCTTAAAACCAAACAAACACAAGGGTATAAATAAAACAGAAAATTAATCGTAGACTTGGTGGGTAGAAAGAATATAATATATAGTAATCGGAAGGTAAAAATATTGAAATCTTTGACCATAAAACAAAAATGGAAAATTATAATCGGTCTTGTTGAATAATTGAATAATGTTCCTAAATTTCTTTCAAATTTAATAGAATAAAATAATAGTGGATAATTTTTTTTTAAGTTAAAAATAATATATATACTTTTTTTTTTTGTTTAGATTCAAAGTTTTTACTATTTTCTTTTTCATTCTACTAAAAAAATATTATTATTTTTATTTTAATAAAAATAATTATATATTAATATCAAAATATCATTATAAAATAATTAAGTTATATGAAAAAAATAGTCAATTTTGATTTAAAACTAAAGACAAGCAAATGGGTTGGGATCGATGCTGAAGTCAAGTAAGCATTATGATGATAATATTTAAAATTAATATATCCTATTTTATAATATAATATATATTGAGATATATATAAGTTACCATATAATATATATTAATTCTGTAAAATCAGTACAATGTTTATTTAGTCGGATCAATACATGATCTGTCGCTCAAACAAATTCTCCAATTTTTTAAAAATATTAGTCATTGATGTGTTCATTTTGTATATTTTTATGAATGTATTTTTTGTGTGAATTACAAAAAATTATATTAATAATATTAAAAATAATATTTTGTACTAAATTATTAATTTTTATGAATAAATAGCGCATACATATTATATTATATTTTTTGTACTTTTTTTCATCGGTCATATTTAGTCATTTTAGGTTCTAAGATTTCAAAAATAAATATTTTACTTACTCCGTTCTACAAGTAAAATAAAATAGAAATAACTAAAATAACTTTATTAGTACGTGTAATATAAAGGTAATGACATTTGTGTAATATATTGTAAGTTGTAAGGGTATTTGTAATATTAGGTAAACAGTACAGTTACTAAAAAGGAATAGATATTTTGTTATGGGACGGACTAAAATGAAAAAATGGATACTTTGTTATGGGATGGAGAGAATATTAAAATTTTGGAAAAGATAAAAAGATAATCAAAGGTATTTTTAATTTCTAATTAATAATTAAGGATATTAGAGAGAGAATATAATAAAGTTATTAACATTTGTTATAAATAAGTGTTGAATGAAGTGTAATAATTAAATATTAATTTTTTTTTTTTACTTTTATCAAATATCGTACTAAGATGTACAGAAAAAATTAAGAATAAATTTGAGATATAAAAATAATTTTCTTTAAAAAAATCCCATAATTAAAAAATTATTATTATTATTATTATTATTAATGCTATATATATATATATATATGTATGTATATACTATATTTTTGTAAATACAATAATCAACAATAATTTTAGAAGGTTGCATGGAAATGCAAGTGAGAAAGGGTTTTCTTTTCTTGTGGTTGAGAAAGAAATCTGATCCAAATATAGATCATGTCATGGTCCACTTCTATACTTTATTTGTATTTTTATTAGTTTGTTTTTATTATTATTTTAGTTTGTTTGGTCGAGATTTGAAATAAAGTGTTGATTTAAATGTTTATTTAAATAGTAATTTAATATAATATTTTATGAGAAAAATAATATTTTTATTGAAAATTGTATGAGGTGAGCAATAACGAATTATGTTTGAAATTGTAGTCAGACATAATTTGGAATCAATAGCTTTGTTCTCGTAACATTAATTTTAAATTAAAATTTCTCCAAAAATAATATTCATTATGTCCCAATATAAAAGTCTTGTTTATTATTTTTATCCGTCCTAAAATAATAGTATTATTTTTATAAATAATCATATCACTCTAAAACTACTCATATTTTTTCATTTTTATTACACAATTACCACTCTTTTTTACTTTAATATACTCACAAGGACAAAAATGTCTTTTATCCATACTTTTTACCAACTATTGATATAATATCAATATTTTTTAAATCTCATGTCTAACACAATTAAAATTATATTTATGGGACGGAGGGAGTAATAAAAAACATACAATATTTTATACAAAAATAAAAAATCAAAATACTCGTTATAAAAAGTCAAAAAATTATTACATCAAGTCAAGTATTCAATATCTCATACCATACACATAGGGTGTGTTTGTTTGAAGGATTTTGGTGGATTTCCACTATTCATCCAATTTTTTCCCCCAAAAAATATCAAATCAAACACCTATTTTTTATTTTTTATATTATACTAAAAAAATCAATTTTACATTCAAAACATCACATCAAACCCTATTTATATCACATCATACAACTATTTAAATTCAAAATTTTTACTATTCAAATCCCAACTCAAAATCCAAACCCCCAAACAAACACACCCTTAAAATACTTCATCTAAAAACGTCGTGTGAATTGAACTAATGTATTTATTTATTTATTTTTCGCATTTGGATTTTACGATATTAATATTATATATTTAGTATAATAAATATGTGAATTAACAATTCTATCTTTGAGTGGGTTAAAATAAGTGATGATATTATTTAATCATAATTAAAATATACATAATTTTAGCACATTTGTAGTTGGATTAGACATATACATGTTCGTTTCTTTAATTAATCTTTTTTTTTTTTAATTTTATTATTTAGATTCTATATTTTTAAAAAAAATATTTTTTTTTTCTCATAAAATATTTAATTAAATATTATTTTAATATCAAACTTAAACCAAAAAAACACACACCGTAACCATATTTATTTGCATTGAATAGGAAAAACACATTTGTTTTTAGATGATGGGTGTAGGACCATATTTGTTTGCCAATTATTTCGACTGATCTTCTAGAAGGGGAAAAATGATTCTTCACAATAATTAATTATTTTTCACTTTGAATAAAATGCGCTTGTTTGACCTGAAATACTATGTCTCATTTAAATATTTTTACTTTTTATTTAAATTTGTTTATTCTTTCATTACATTTATTTTTGTGTCATTATATTTAATATTAAAAATTATCTTTTATATACACGTATAATTATGTGTCATTATAGTCAATATTAAAATTATCTTTTATATGCACGTATAATTATGATAGTTAATATTAAAAAATCAACATAGAAAAAATAAATATGGCGTTAGAGCATAACAGAAATGTGGAATATACAACAGTTATTTTTTGAGTGCGCTTCGGATAATTTTCAGTTAAACTTAATAGCTTGCAAAATAAATTCGACAAAATAAATAATATTAGACAAACTATGTATAAAGACATGACCCAGAGTTTCTTCTCGTAAATATTTTCACTAAACCTATTTTTATTCTTTATTATTTGGATTGTAAAAATAATTTTGTTATTGTAAAATATCATATTAAATATTATTTAAATCTAATAAAAAAAACACACCATATAGAAATTCTGATTTTAGCACTATATTTTTTAGAAATTACAAAAAGAATACTCTTTTCCTCCAATAAAATAAGCACACTTGAATTCGATATGAATATTAAAAACATATATATAATATTGAAAAAGTGATACAAATAAAATGATAGTTGAAAATACTTTTGAAAATTTAATTATAAATTAAATAAAATGAAAAAAAAAATAATAATAAAAAATAGTCATATTTGTTATAAATAAATATTGAATTGAATGTAATAGTTAAATATTGACTTTGTCAAAATTAATACTTCATCCGTCATACAAAAGTGTACTTATTTGACCAAATATGCGTTTTAATAAAGTGAATAATAATTATTACTTTTTTATTTCATAGTAAAATATATATATAAGTGTAATATTATTTTTTTATTTAAAAGAAAAAACGAGCATTTTTTTAATGATAACCCATAGAAAAAAAAAACAAAAAAGTAAACCTAAATTTGCATGATTAATAGAGTAATAGAATAAATTTACGGATGAATTAAAATGAACAAGAATAAATTTGACGGCAAATAGAGAGAGTATTAAAATATTATATCTTTTTTAAATTTTTATGCCCAAAAATTTTATATTTTTATGAGAGAAAAAAAAAAAAGAGTATTATTTATGATATAAGTATAAATTTGTCAAATAGATTTAAAGAAAAAAATAATAATTATATGTACTTTCTTTTCTTTTTGTTTGCTGATATGGCTGATTTAAATGGGCCGAACAAATTGGGCTAATGGCCCGAATGGTTATATCAATAATTTAAAATTAAATTAATTTAAATATATATTAGCGAAATGAGTTGGGTCCGAATATAATAAAGTCCAATTCAAGTCATGAATTCAACAATATATATTTGGTTTGAAACAAATGAAATTTTAATAGAAAATAAATATAATGTAACAAATATGTATTGAGCATAGTATTTTAAATAAAAAAATATAAATTTTGATTTAATATTTTAAATAAACAATTATTTTAGAAATTATGCCGGGTTTTGATTTTGGGTTATCGACATGATTTTTATATTTAATATTTAATTTCAGGCTATCAGGTCAATCTAAAATCCGACCTGATTCAATCAAATTTTTTTTTTTTTTTTCGTTTCAGGTTCGAACTGATCTAATTTTTTAAAAATCTAAAACATCTAAATCCGAACTTAACATGTGGATGATCAATTAATACAAAATAAATACTCATTTCATCCAAACATTCTGTAATATTTTTTTTGGTTTGTCCAAACATTTTGTAACATTTTTAAATAAAAAATAATTAAATATATTTAATCTTTGTCCTACACTAAATTTATCATATTATTTAATTTTAAAATTATCATGTTTAATACTACTAGTCTAATTTTCTATGTCAGAAAATAAATATTGTATCATGTTTGAAAAAGAAAGAATACTTCATTTTTATCAGTTAAATAAACACACTTTTTTTCTAACAAATATAATAGTATTATATTTTTTAATTTATTACAAAATTCATTTGTAATTATTTAGATGAGACAAAGAAAATATATTCTCATTTTGTTGTCAAATATATGCCTTCTTTTTCTTTTTTCTTTTTTTTTTCTTTTTTTTTTTAATATTTATCCACAACAATTTACGTGTTCTAATTACAACGAAAGACTCTTTAATACTCCTTAAGTTATATATTTTTATATTACATTTATTTACAAATATGCTATAATTTAATTCATCTATTTTTTTTTTCATTTTATCAATTTATTTATATACTTTTTAAAATATTTTATTTTATGGCACATTTAATCAATATAATACTCTATCCATCCCAAAAGAAGTGTCTGGTTGAAGGTTGGCACAGGAATTAAGGAATAATAGTATTTAATTGAAAATGTGTCTTACTTTTTGAAGAATTTTAAAAAGTAAGTTAGAATAATAATTATGGATAATTTGAAAAAATATGAATAATTTTGTTATAAAGTGGGACCACGATTATTAAATAAGGAAATAGGACAATTATTTTGATACAGACAAAAATAAAAAAACAAGAAAATTCTTTTGGAACGGAGGGAGGGAGTATTATACTTCTTCTGTCTGGATTAGTTATGTCACAATCTTCGAACGCCGGCGCTAAAAGACTAATAGGATTTTAATATAAATTTGAGATAAGTAAAAAATAAAGGGTGTGTTTGATTTTTATTTTGGTTTGAATTTTATTTCAATGTAAAATATTCATTTTTATTTTAAAAAATATTAATTATATATTAATATCAAAATACTCTTAATTTTTATTTAAAATATAAATATATATTACACATACAATTATATTATACATATGACAAAAATATTAAAATATCTTACATATATTTACTAATTAATAAAATTTTACTCCCTCCGTCCCACATATACAGTGTATTTTAGAAAGGATATAATTAGTAGATAATTAAAAATGTATCAGTGAAAATAATTATCATATAATATAAATAATTACAAATTAAGATTAAGATAACTAATTAGTTAAATTAAAATTAAAAAATAAATTAAAAAGGTTAAAATAAAATTAAAGTGTGTAATCATTTAAAAAAAAATGATATGAAATATAGAACAAACAGAAACGACAATATAAATATAATATATGAGACGGAGAGTATTATTTTTTAATCAATTACAAAATTCTAAAAAACCCCTTTACTAATAATCCTGATAGCTAGCCATGGCTTGACAATGATAATACGAAAATAAAAATGCAAAATAAATGTGAGTGGATAAGCCATCAGGCTTTCGTAAAGAAAGGTGACAGATATTTTCTGGTTAATGAATAACATAAATAATAATAATAATAATACTATCTCTATTCCACGTATCATTTTTGCTACACTGTAAACACGAAATTTTATAAAGAGTGGAATTAGTAGATAATTAAGAATATATTAGTGAAAATAATTATCTTATAATATAAATAATTATAAATTAAGATTAAGATAACTAATTAATTTAATTAAAATTAAAATTAAAATGAAATTTAAAAATTTAAAATAAAATTAAAGTGTATAATTATTTTTTTTTTTAACAAAATAATATGATATGTGAGACGAACATAAATCGCAATGTGGACAGTATATATGGGACGAAGGGAGTAATATAATACCTATATTTTATTTTTAAATAAAAAAATAAATAAAGGTAAAAGTGCACTATAGTTTTCGTATGTTGTGAGGAATAATAATTCAAATCTGTCTGTCTGTCTGTCACACACCACAACAAAATATCCATCTCCAGATATTTTCACCGCCCCGTCATCTCTCCCCACTCGCATACGTCAACGCGTCTCTCTCACGCGCTGTCTCTTCTCTAATAAATTCTCACTGTACTGTAATATTTTGTATCTGGTTATTTTATTTTATATTTTTATCTTAATATTCATCGTTTTACTTACAAAATATATATTTTATTTATTTTTTAAATAAATATTTATTTATTTTTTACGGGAAGTTAAAAGTATATTATTATTATATTAATATGTAAATAAATTAAAAAAAATATTAAAATAATTTTATTAATATTATTCCATATAAAAATAATGATATTTATAGATAACAGGATTATCATTTGTTTTAAATTATTGACTATTTTGACATTATTATATCGTCATATATAATTCATTTTTTTTTTGTTTGTCTCACATGAGATGAGAGGATCATTTTCCTTTTTGATAAATTTAATAATTTTAAATATATTTAATAAATATAAATTAATTTAATTAAATTTTAAATATTTCATACATAAAACTTATTCAAAATTCATTTATTTATATTTTTATCCTTAAACAAATATTTTTGATTATATTTAAAACTCTTCGTTTTTTATAATATTACTTTATGTTAATTATCGATAAATAAATATATATTTTTTATTTATTTATATTATATAAAATTTTATTATTTAAAAAATGATATCTATATTATATAAAATTTTATTGACATATAGCATTTAAAATATTTAAATACCTTTTTTAAATTTTTTTCTAATCATATATATTAGTTTTATTTTAAAAACGATAACACTATTTATATAAATAAAAAAAATAATATTATAACTACAATAATTAACTTATTAAATTACATTACTTAAAATACCGTGTTCTAACCAAATAAATTATCTTACCCGACATGGAAGCATGGCGCTGAATGTTTTCATTCAAGCGCCTGATTCTAACCAATTTTTTATACTTATCATAAAAAATATTTTATCAGTCTACACATAAAATATACTATTACTTTTAGCACGGTGTTTAAAAATAATAATATTTTAATTATAGTGCATAGTTAAAAGTAATGTAATAATATTTGTCTTATTTTTTAGTGTAAAAATAATAATATAATGTAAAATAGGACTATTTGTAAAAAAAGTAAAATATTTAATAAAATACTTATTTTGTAGACTAAAAATAATTATATTTTTTAGTTGGATTGAGAGTATATTAATTCAAAAATATAAAGGGAACTAAACATATATAATGACGTGGCCACTTAACACGTGGCAGACGGTGAGAGCGAGTGGGTATAGAATTGAAGTCATAATAGAAAAGGCCAAAGTTCATTTTGGAACTTAGGAGTTGCAATTGATAATTCGGTGTAAGTGTAACTGCACCATAAATTCACGTAGAGAATAATTTAAAATGCCGCCGAAAAAGGCGCAATCGTCCGCCGGAAACCACCACACATCGGCGGCGACGCCAGCCAGGAGAGCCGTCAACGGTGGCGGATCGATTTGGCATTGGACGAATGAGCGGCACGTGCGTTTCCTCAACAACATGGAGGCTTCCTTCGTCGAGTCGATGTTCGGCGGCGGAGGAAACGGTGGCGCCGCCGCCGCCGTTGCGCCGCCGCCGCCGCTCGACCGTTATTTGCCGGACACGGCGGAGTCCACTCAGGATTTGGCTAAGGAAAGGCGGACAAGGCACTGCACAGCCTCAGCCTCAGGTAAAATAATTTTATTTAAAATAAATAAATACATGAAAAAACGTTGAGCACCAAAAATATGTATGTGGAAATTGTTTTTAGTATTTAAAATAATTATTTAACAAATACTAAGTTATTTGAAATTAAATATTTTTTTATTTATATATCAGTCTCAACTTAAAAGTATTATTTTTATCATTATTTATTTTTTATTTTAATAAAAATAATTATACACCAGTACCAAAATATTCTTAACTTTGACCAAAATTAGAAACATATTATTACACATGCAATTACGTAAGATAAAAATATCAAAATTTTTTATACATTTCCACTAATTAATAAAAAATATTATTATTTTTTAATCTACTGCAAAATCTCAAATGACCTCTTTGGACCGGGAGGGAGTATTTATTTGGTAATATTTTTTTGGGTCTTCTTGTTTAATAAGTAGTTTAGATGTAATATCTATAGGGTTTAGATAGTAAAAAAAAAATGCTTTCGGATTGATCGAGGGAATCAGTTTTATTTAATAAAAAAAGACAGTACATGTTAAACAATACATATCCTGACAAGATGTGATATAATTTTACATAATATAACATATTAATTGATTTTAACACAATAAATTTATTTATACACAAAACAACAAAAATTTCTGTGTTACACAATATATTTATACCTCTATATTATATATTATTATTTTCAATAAATTAATATAAATATTCCCTCCGTCCCGGTCAAGATGACCTTTTTACTTAAGGATACATATTTTAGGTAGCGCAGATTAGTAAGTTATTAATAATAAATTATGATATTATTTTATTATTTTTATATGAGTAGTGTTGTCGATATTTTAAATATTTTTAGCATTATATATCAATAAAACATATATAATATGGATATTATTTTATAAAGAATAAAATTTTATATAATAAAAATAAATAAAAAAGTTAATTTATTTATTTATAATCAACTTAAAACTAAGTTTATTAAAAATAAAAATTTTTAAATATAGATAAAAATATTTATTTATTGAGGAGAAAGATATAAATAGAGAGATTTTGAATTGGTCATATGTGTAAAAGGTTAGAAATTTAATTAAATTGATTTATATTTGTTAAATATGTTTAAGATGAATAAATTTATTAAAAATAGAAAAATATCATCTTTACTGAGACATATAAAAGGGGAAAAGGGATCATCTTTGTCGCGGGACGCGACGGAGAAAGTATTTGATAAAATGATTTTGAAAGAAAAGAAAAAAAGGAATTATAGTGAATAGTTTGGAAATTTAAACAAACACATATTTACATATTTGTTGTTGTCAAGTTTGATTTGAACTCGTAAGTTTTCCGATTAATACTACAAAAAAGAATACTATAATACTATACACACTTATCTCTACAATATACTTATAATATAGTACTCTCTTGGTCCATAAATATAGTTTTAATTGGGTTGAGCACGAGATTTAAGAAATATTGATATTAATATTGATAGTGGATAAAAAATATGAATAAAGACTTTTTTGTCTTTACGAGTGTATTAATGTAAAAAGTAATGGCAATTGTGTAATAAAAATGAAAAAATAGAGATAGTTTTACGATGATATGATTATTTATAAAAATAAAACTATTGTTTTGAAATAGAACTATTGTATTGGAACGGAGGAAATATATTATTCACTTATAAAAAAACAAAAAGATTAACACTAAATATTATTTTTTGTATTTTCAACAAAACTTTCAAAATATATATATATATATATAAAACTTAAAAATAAGAATACTAAACAAACACATCCAAATACATACCTCTTTTAAAGTAACAGGAATTTTAAATAGAATATATATATATATATATATGATATTTTATTTTAAATTTTTGTAGATATTGCAGGGTCAAGAGGGAGGATGGACAAGAAGACGAGAAATTTTTCTTGCCAAAAATCTTCACAGGATCAGGTTTGTCATAGCACACATACATTTATGATTTATATGATAATATTTTTATTTTATTTTTTTATATGATAATATTTATGTATGTAGAATTTTGGTCCCATTCACTCCGTCTTTTTAGTTTTTTTCTTTTTTAAAAATTAATGTGATAGGTTTTTTTTTTTTTTTTTTTAAAAAAATTATCAATAAATAGTTTTAAAGACTTTCAAAGAAAAGAATGTATGTGTAATAATATATTTGTAATTTAAGTAAATAATAATAATATTTTGGTATTAATGTATGATTATTATTACAAGAATTAAAAATGAATACTAGAGGGACACGAAAATGATAAAAAAAAATACGTTGACTTGTAACTAGCGAACTATCATTTTTATTGCAAATGTCGCCTCAAATCTGAGTATCCAAAAATTTAGGAAATTTATTGCAAATACGGTGTCGGAATGCACATGTCTTATTATTATTTCAGTAAAATAATAATTCAGTTAATATATTATTTTCAATAATGTTTATCTAATATATATATATATATATGCATTGGAAAATTATTTGGCATTTTGTGTCTCAGGTGGTCCCACAAGTTGACATCAGAAGAAATGATGATAAAGATAATGACGATGAAGTTCATTGGCAAGGAAATAAATAATTCGATTTTTATTTGGATAGACTTTTATTATTATTATTATTATTATTATAATTTGTATTGGTAGGTTTTGGTATCAATCTGTATTTGTTAATGTTATTTGCAAATGTTTGTATTTTCTCGACTAATTTATTTTACAAATTCCGATGTTGAATGTTTTAAATTTTCTATTAAATCATATTTAAAAAATTGTTAAAATATATACACATTAAAAATAAAATAGTGCTCGTCCTTTCCAAAAATATAGTGTAATATTTGTTTTCGACATAAGAATTTCAGTAGATAGTATTAAATATAATAATTTGAAAATTGAATGATACGATAAGAAAAAATATATATATATATTTGAATAATATGATAGGATAAATTGTGAAGCAAAAATTAAATATATTTAATTATTTTATATTTTAGAAAATAGAAAATAATTAGCATATATTTAGTCTAAATCATATACCCCATTAAATATGTTGACAAATGATAAGCATTGGAACTTAACACAATTCGATTTCAAACTTTAATCTAACTTTAACTTAACAAAAATATATTATTTTCCCGAACAAAACATCACAACCAAAAATCATTTCACTAAAAAACTAACTAGAGAAAACTCAACCAAAAAGTATAACAATCCAACTCTTTTAAGAGAATCAAGACACTAAAGTTACAAGCCATAAATAGTAAAATCCAAGAAGTTTTAAGGTAGTTTATTGAGCAGCAAGCAGGCAAAACAGGAAAGTTTTCGGCATAGTTCGACGAGCATGTCCGCAACGGGGAACGAAAAGCATCGAAAATATATTTGTTACGGATATATATATATATATATACAAGTTAAAGAAGCGATACACAAGCAACAAGAAAAGAGTGTAGTCGAGCTGACCTGGATGGCGCGACGGAATGTCCTGGAATTCGGGTACTAAGACTTGTTCGGAGGCTGTGAGGTTTCATCATCGATGTCGATGTCTTTGATGCTGGGCTGGAGTGAGGTTTCGTCGTCGATCTCGATGTCTTTGACGCCTGCGGCTATTGATGTTGGGGATGGTTCGATCGGAACTCCAACTTTCTTCCGGATGTTTCCGGCGGCATCCTCGTCCGACTCTTCCTCGAGATAAGAACCGGTGCGGAGAAGTTCTTTCACTTTGTGGAACTCGTCGTAGTGCGCTTTCCTGTGCTCCCTGAAGCTCCTCCGCCTCTCGGCATCTCCGCCTGAAGGGTTGCATGGTAAAAAAAAAAAAAAAAAGGGATCAAGATTATTTACGACTAGAATGGTAAATACTACATATGTGTATGTAAGATATAGTACTCATTCCGTCCGGAAGAAATATAACGATTTTATCACATTTGGTAGTCCGGCACAAATGTACCTATTTTCTTTTTTATCCATCTCCTATAAATAATACCCTTACAATTCAATGTATCTCAACAATACCACTCGATAAATTTTATAATTATAATCATAAGTTAAGTAGTACGTCTTTCTGTTCAACACAACTATTTTTACACATAATATACTATTATACTTCAAACTCCAAATAAAAAACAAATATACTTCAAACTCCAAATAAAAAACAAACAAATACTTTTTGACCATACGGATGGAGATGCATATAATACATTGTGTAAATTTTATAAAAAATGTGTGTTGATATAGAGATTCTATGCATAATTTGGTTAACATAAAAATTAAAAGGTAGATTATGCAATAAAATTTATACATAATATTTTATGTGTACAAATTAAAATAAAGGTGATGTAGATATAGGGTGTGTTCGTTTGGCAAACTTCACCTGGATTTTTACTATTCATTTATTTATTTTTTTCAAATTAAATACTTATTTTTATTTTCTATATTATTAAAAAAACTAATTTTATATTTAAAATATTACATCAACGTCTATTTATATCACATAATATAACTACACAAATTCAAAATTTTTACTATTTAAATCTCAACTCAAAATCCTAACTCCCAAACAAACACACCCATAATTTATCCTATGGTTATGGCATAGCACACATACATTTTCAATAGAATGACCGATCTATCGAGCTAAGACATGAATGGAAAAGCTGAAGGGAAGAGACAAACCTTCTTCATCTTCTTCCATGGCATCTGCCTCGTCTTCAGATGACGTCCAGCCAGACTTGGGTTTGCTAGAGGATGCCACATCATTCAGTGCTGAACGGATATCATCTGCATTCACTCCATCATCGAAACCATTATCAAAGCTTCCTCCTCTAGCAGGTGATAGTGATCCTACATTCGGGAATGGACAGGATTACCACTTCTATATGCATTTTAATACCATTTCATGACCAATTAAACCCTAAAAAATTGGCGTGGAGCATGTAGACACATAAGTAGAGATATCAACAGCAGCTAGAACAGTTAAGAGAGATCGAAATGACACAAGTTGGAACGAGGGATAATATCTATGCGACCTAATGTAACACTTCCCCCGAACCTCACAACCAAAACTAATTTCCAATAAGGCAAAACTGAGCATTCAGCCGTGAAATCTATGGATCAACATAGCTATTGGTGCAGTAAATTTGTTGATCATGGAATAAGGATGGGCTTTATAAGTAGTAGTTTAACAATGTCCAGACAAAATGCTTATAAAGCTCGTTAAATCACCATAAGTGCTATTTTTTTCAGACAAAAATCCAACTAGCGCCCACGGGCCACAGTAATCTAATTTCACCAAACACATTGTCTAGAATAATTAACACCACAGTTTGTGAACACACAATTCAATTTAGATATAACATGAGAAGATTATGCAATTGCGACAAAACTGAAAGAAGCAACTATGGTGCAAAGCCAAAAGGATTGGAGATTTTCCAGGGCATTATTGACGACGGATAGAAATAATTGCAAAGTGTACCATCATCATTGTCATCATCAATCATGGGATGATATGGTGTCTTTGGTTCGGTTATTTTCTGCCTCACAGGTTTATGCGCCTCAATGTACCCCAAATTAGCTTCATCCCATTTCACTCTTCCCCTGCCACCCCCGAAAATATTAACAATATCAGTATAACTTCAACAATTCATCGCAACAGAATAAAATGACTATGAAATAACATTGTGCAATAGAAAGGGTTACTTTAGGTGATGTTACCATGAACTACAAAACTCCTAAAATGGATATATTTATGTCGCTCCAAATATTTTAAAGTCTTAAAAAGCTATTTGGAACAATTAGTGACCATGCCCTACACTACGAGATGCATACTCTAAAAGCTCACCATTAATCAACATAACTTAATAGTGTAAAACCATATCGTAAGCTCACATTGTCAAATTGGTAAGATTATATCAAACATAATTATAAAATACATAAAACCGTAGGTAAATGGATACATCAATGCCGTTTTAAATATTTTTAACTCTTCTCTGGCAGTGATTAGTTTTCATGCCCTACATTATGAGATGAACTCTCGAAAAGTCACCAATAATTGACACAACTTAATCATATGAAAACATAGTAAGCTCCCATCACAAAATTGGATAAACTATATCATATATATATATAACTATAACATACATAAATCCATAATATAAAATATCTTGATTCCCCTCTTTCTTATGGCAACCAAAATTTGAACAGAAAACTCAAATGCATAGTCAAATACTGACAAAAGAACGGAGATAAACGACGTGGGAATGAAATTACTTCTTCATCTCGTTAATCTAATGATCCTCCGATCTCACAATCACCAATCACAGTCAGAGACCCAAAGCTGGAGCACTACTCTGTCAAAAGGATATGCATTTCATCAATTCGTGGAGCCTAAGAAAACAATCGCATAATAACAGGAATTAATTAAACAAGGACCGAAAAATAAATTTTAAAAAAAAAAAGAAAGCGCAAGTCTATTTGTCTCCTCAAAATATACCATATATGAATCTCGTCCTGCCATTTTCAACACAGAAAGCACGACGAAACCGGCGTAAGGAAAAGAAAAGGAACCAAAGAAGCTCTTCGATTGAACAAATATCCAAATCGACAATATACATAACATCCACTAACCAATTAACAACCAAATAAAATCAAATTAATCCAATTGAATCGAATAGCAAATTCTAGGTCACGAAAAAAGGCATTCATTCTTTCGAAATCAACAACACCAGAAACCCAAACCAAAAGGAGATTCTAAAGCCTACAAACTTTGAATCGGAGAAAATCATCAGATCGCGTAAGCCAAAAGGCAATTGAAAGATGAATTTGATACCTGCAGATAGGTTTTTCAGTTCCTCCTATCGTGCCTCTCGGGAGCTTGTAAAGTTGTGAAATGACGAGCTCATTCCTCCCTTCGGCTATGGTTCAAAAATATCAAACGTGAACCGTCGGTTCGAACCGCCGGTTTTCGCGGTTCAGCCTTCATTATAGTATATTTTTTGAAAAAAAGAAAGAAAAACAAATGAAAGATGAATAAGAGTTGTGTAGTAAGGGTATTGTATTTTTATACAAATAATATATTTATAAAAAAAATATTATAGAATATTACTACATTTACTTTTTATAGGTTAGATATTTAAATATTAATTATTATATTAAAAAATAATATAAATTACAAAAAATTACAAAAATATTTTTATTATACTAATACAATAATATTTGTATAATTTTACTTTTTTTTTAATGTTAATACAAAGAAATAATAGTAATACTAAAGTAGTTACTAGTGTAAAAAAAAAATAATGATTTAGGTTAGATCTTAAAAAATGGCTAGTCCTTTCCTTCCCTATCTAACTTGTCTATGGAATTTCAACTATTCTGGTTTCATTTAGATTCGTGACAGCTCAATTTTTACTAACGCAGTTAATTACAGTACTAAATTTTAAATTTAATATTGGTTTAACAGCAAACAATTTACACATTTTGAAGGGTAAATTTTATCTAAGTTGGACTTTGACCTTGTCCAGCGAGGAGCTGCCGGAGCGCAATCTCCGGCTCAGACAGAGAACCACGCCGGTAGAAGGCGCCCTTGAAGGCGAGACTTGATTAGGTGATGCCAGAGGTGATGTCGGACTGATGCTCGAATTAGGACCATAGCCCCCTTAACATCGTCATCATCATAATCATTGATATTTATCCTTTAACATCGAATCATCTGTGGTTCTAATTGCCCTAATCTCATGTTCTTCAAGTTTTCCACGTCTCACATTGCAATTAAACCACAAAAAACAGAGCTAAACAGGCATATTCAAACCCCCGACGCTTCCAGATCACCTGTCATGTGTGTTGGTCTAGTGTAACTTGTCTATCGAACCTAGTTTGTAAGGTATTAAGTTCGGCTAAAAATTTACCCGGTATGCACTTTCGGATAACAGTTGCGGATTCATACATTATCAAAAAAAAAAAAAAAAAAAAAGCATATTCAAGGCCGACAAACACCAAATACTCAATCTATTGCAAAATTAAAAAATGAACAAGCCAAGAAACCAGAAGTCCTATCAACCACAAACACATCAAAAATCATTGAAACAAAACACAGAGAAATCATTGAAACAAAAACCCAAATCTCAACTGCAACAAGTTTATCAAATTTGATCATCTTCAACACAATTCCTCACCTTTTCTTTCTTCCCACGCTGAGCCTTCACTATAACTTTCCATCCTCAATTTTCACTCAAATTAACCCTAAATCCAACTCCACAGATCACAAAAACTCACCCAACAACAAAAGGGACAAACACTAGAATCAAGCCATTTTGCTATTCTCCACCAGCATCGAGATTTGTGAGATTAGAAAACTGAAGATGAAAGGGGCTAAACAGTTGCATGGGTTAATGGGAGATGGTGTTAAATGGTGAGAGGTAATCGCACAGAAGTTTATCTAAGATCACAGTACTTTCAAAAACATAATCAACAATCCCATGTAAAGATAAGGATTCTTTATTGTTCACCACCACCAAATGTTAACAGTGTAAACAAGGGATCTACTGTATACATTGATCTGTTCATCAGGGCCTGTCCATGGCGGAAATGGCTGCACTGACTTTTTCTCTTACAGCAGGTTGAACCTCTGGAAGGAATCAAACATCAAAGATCAATCGCAAAGAAAGGAGACACGACGAAGAATATCTTGATTTGTGAGGGTAAGAGACTATCATAATTCTTTTATCCTTACTGGAAATTAGAGCTTTAGGCCTGGTTTTGAACAATATCTTGTGACGAATAATTCCGACCACATCCAACTCCACTCCGGCAGGATTCGCATCGTCTTCAACTCGCTCGACGTTCTGAAGCTTGATCTTCTTCAACACCAAAAGCGGCTTCTTCAGATTCACTTTCGTACCTGACAGCTCATGGTATCCTACCGTGAATGTGTAGGTTTCCTGAAATTGAAGACAAGGATGAGATGGAAAGTGAAACAACTATGGCTGCCTTCGATTTCGACGAACATTTTCTAATTTATCAGCGGTTCGTTTGCGGACAAATTGAAAATTGCCGAGAACCTGAGAAGACGGGCGGCAGAGCACGCCGATCTGGAGGTTCTGGAGGCGGTTCTGTACGGAGGGTTGGGCTTCGACCATTCCTTGAAGCTCCACAATCGCCCATTCTGCACAGTTGTCGTCTCCACAGCTACACTTCACCTGGATCTGCATTGCTTCTTCTCGGTTTCAATTTTACGTATCGACGATTAAGATTTCTATCAATATCGACCTGCCAATTTGGGGGAATTTTGAAATTAGGGTTCTTAACAATTGGGAGCGTTGAAGGTTAGCAGTCAGATGGAAAGTTTTTGCGCGAGTGCGGAGTCGAGCCTTTCTTTTAAAATTAAGGCTGTGCTTGTTTAACGTTTTCGTACAATTTCAACGATTACAGAAAATTAACAACATTAACTTTAATTATTTTGTTTAATTTTTTTATATTATAATAAAATTAATTTTATATTAAGACAAAAATGATAGTTTTGATTATATCAAAATTGATGAATTTTAGTTATATTGAAACAAATATAATTTGTTCTTTTATATTATATCAAATAATTATTTAAATTAAAAAAATTATTATTATAAAAATTTTATTTTAATATTCAAATTTTCAAACCAACATACCAATATTTTTGTTTTATTTTTACTAATATAATTTTTAATTATTTATTAATTAAACAATATTTAAAATTCAGAGTCTAGACTTAAATGAAACAGAATAGTCGAGACAGACATAGTATTTCAATATATGCCAAAAATTTTAATGTACATACAATACTATACCAAAAATTGGATATTTTTCAAATAGAGTATGTACCTCCATAATACTACTACCCATCAATTCTCCGCATTGGCATTACATCCAATCTTTGTTACCAATGAATTCAAATTTAAGTGAAAAAATAAAAATAAAAATAAAAATCAATTATTACTACTGTAAATCCTTTCCCTTTCCCTGTCCCTGATCATCTCCAAGGCCTGGTGGTGATTGTGAATGTGAGTTCACAGCATCACCACCACCTTTAGTGAAATTCTCGACGGGTATTTCGCCGGTGAGAATCTTCACGGCGAAGGCGATGCAGGGATCATCCATAACAATTTGTCGCAGCTTTTCGTCGCTGTTCTTGCCGCCATCGTCCTCCTCTTTATTGCCATCGAGCCAAGGCAGATTGACTTCATTGTCATCCAGATTTTGCCCGTCATCAGTTTTCCGTTGAGTGTCGATCTGGGGCATTTTCTGTTCATCATTGTTCGCAGTGTTGGTCCCTTTGGAGTCAATCGCGGGCATTTTCTCATCATCGTCCTCTGGCTCCCTCGATGCCGCCACAGCTTCGCGACTAAGTTTGGCAGGCCTAAGATATGCTTCTATGTCGACTTTGATACCCGCCAGTCTTTTCGAAGTTCTCCGGGGCAGGTCGCTTGCCCACTTTCTTTTAGAGCCCCTCCTCTTTTGCACAGAGTGACTCGAATCCGGCTGACCATCCACCGAACCCTGCTCATGTTCTGTTGGTAATGGCCTTTTCATCGTCTCAGGCACGGTGGTGGTGGTGGTGGCGGCGGCGGCAGTGGTGATAGCGATCTTCTCAACAGCACCTCCTAAGTTTACAAGCAGACACACAGACAGCATAAGACAACGTTTTAAGGTCACGATAAATACTACGGGATTCTAAGAACATGCATAAAAAGCATCAGTGTTCAATTGACAGCTTATGTACCTGTTTGGAACGACGACGGATTTCTACTTGCGCCATCCTTCAATTTATTGGCTGCCAATCTCGGGCTCCGTCTTCTCTCTCCTGTTCTAAGTAAAGCTGCTTTCGAGCCTACAATTTAAAATCCAAACACAACCGACATCAGCCAATTAGAGGAACGACAGAAAAAATGCATCCCGTCAATAAATGGAACGCAATGCAAACTAAACATAATGCAAAATAATGTGCCAGTGTCTGGAGAAGAACAGACACTACCGCGAATAATTTTTCAGCATTATATTTTTATCGTTGTGCTTGTTTATTTTCCAGCTGCGGATTGCTAGAAAGCTTAATTTATGATCGCTTGGTTTTGTTGCAGAACATAGCAAGTTTCAGAACTAAATGCAATAAAAAAACACATAATTCAGACAACCGCACGTTAGAACAGCCGTATTACCTGACTTTCCAATCTTACCTGACTTTCCAATCTTGTTGCACGACAAACTTACATCCTCTTTTTGGCTTATTGGCATTTTTCCTTTACCCACGTTTGTGGCATCAAGTTTCAGACCTAAATGCGTAGCATTGTTCAGGAAAAAAGCACACGTTCGGTCAACGAAACATAAATGCCTTTAAGACAAGCCTAATTAATACCTGACTTTCCCATATCATCGGACAATAAACTTTCATCCACATCATTGGCGATTGAAATTTGTCCTTCAGCCTCGGCGCACAACTGGGAAAAAACAACAAAGCACTATAACTTCTAAGAAGCTTCCACAACAATTTTTCTATCTGAAGTTGATCCAAATAATAACGGCCAAGCTAAGAAGTATATATATATTTTTTAAAACGCCGACTAAATGTGGGCCACCATAGCTTTGCTTTTGATGGGTCCCAAAGCAGTATAAACCATAAATAACGACATAAATATCTTTTCCTTCATGTCCGAAAAGCGACAACCATAATGTAAGCATATGTACAAACATACCTTATTTTGATCATTGGGGTTATCATCCTTTATAGAACTTTCTAGATAACGAAGCACCTCCAGCTTCGAGCTGAATTCGAGGCCATTGGTGGGATTGAGATAACACTGGAGCAAATCCAAAGAACAGAATTTATTACAAAACAAAATCTAGAAAACTCTAAAAGCGGAAGACTCAGATTCGCTGTAATCATGCCATTTGTAAATAAAATCTAGCGAAACTACAAAGGCAGAAGATTCGGCATAGTAATGCCATTTTTTTCCACTTTAGTAAGTGCAGAATGGCAAAGTAAAGATCAAACAAAACACAGAATCCAATTCACGACAATCTAAAAACAGTTCATGCTCAGTCGAACTAAGATCGAATCAAAATTGGCAAAATCAAAATCTCTCTAACCCTAACTTCAACATTAGCAACAATTCCTCTACACACCAATTCAATCCAAATCTACGAAGACAGCAGAAACAATAGCCAAAACCTGATCATCATCATCTACATCATTTGTGGTTCCAATTGCCCTAATCTAAAGTTCTTCAGGTTTTCCACAATTCACATTTAGATTCAACCACAGAAAACAGAACTAAACAAACATTTTCATGTCCTAGAAACACCAATTTCTCAATCTATCGCAAAATCAAAGAATCCATAAAACAGGCTTTGAGATTAAAAAAAAATCCATAAAACAGGCAAACCGTACAGAAGTTCAATCCTCAAAACTAAAACCCTAATCCCAACCAACAAGTTCATCAATTTTGATCATCTTCCAACACAATTACTTACCCGATCTTTCTTCCCACTTCTTTGAGCCTTCACTTCAACTTTCCAATCCGCAGGCAGCCATTCAGGGTGCTCGCAGCCCATCTCCAAAATTCACTCCAATTAACCCTAAATTCAACTCCACAAATCACGAAAACTACACAACAACAACAACAACAAAAGGGCACACACCGAAATCAAGCAATTCCCCTATTCTCCACCCCAATCGAGACTTGAGCGATTCGCAAACTGAAGAGTAAAGCAAGTAATCGCCCGAAAACAAATATATAAAGAGAGAATCAAGGGAGATATGCAGTAGCAAGGCTGGTGTGAAAATGGTGGGAGGGATGCAGAAAGAGACAACCACGTGTCGGAAACTTTCTGTAGCACGCCGAGAGAGCCGCCAAAACGGTTCATTAAATAGGGGCGCCATGGTTTCAATTTGCCTGAATTTTCCCAATCCCTAATTTCGTTTCTTCTTCTGTTTGCTCTGGATTTTGCACAATCTCTGTGAATTTAACTACCCTATCTGCCCAGATTGCATCGCCCCTTTGTAGACTCAAGAAATTAAAGAGAGTATATGTACAGCAAAATTACTAAATCTTTCTTTTCTTTCTTTTTTGGGTTTCGACACAACTATGGCTGCCATAAATTTGGACCAAAAATGTATAATTTATCAGCAGATCGTTAACGGACAAAATGAAAATGCCGAGAACCTGAGAAGAAGGGCAGGCAGAGCACGCTGCTCTGGAGGCGGCTCTGTATGGAAGGTTGGGCCTCGGCCATTCCTTGGAGCTCCGGAATTGCCCATTGTGCAGAGTTGCCCTCTCCACAGCTGCACTTCACCTGGAGCTGCATTGCTTCTTCCCGATTTCTATTTATGTATCGACGGTTAAGACCTGCAATTTGGGGAAATTGTGAAATTAGGGTTCTCAAAAAATTGGGGAAATTTTTTGTTTGTTTTTTTTTTTTTTTTTTTCATTAACTGGGGGAGTCGAAGGCTTGCAGGCTGCAGCCACGTTGATGATTTGGCGGGAAACATTGAGTTGAAAGTTAAACTTTTTTTTTTTTTTTCCTTTTTTTTTTTTCTCATTTTTTTTTTCCTTTTTTGTTTTTTTTTTTTTACCTCATCTTCTATTATTCAATTTATAATCTTTTCATCTGTTTATTTCAGTAGATCATCGTAGCACACAATTTTACTCGATTTTTTTTTTTTTTAAAAAAAAACAAAATTATATCATTAAACATATTAAATATTTAAAATAAAAATAAGACAATATTAAAATTAATAAAATAATATTAGTAAAAAAGATAAATATATATATATACAAATAATACAAATATATATATATAAGCATATAAATTTATTAGTACACAACCCAAAAAAAAGAAAATACTAAAATAAAGATAAAAGAATAAAATAATCAATTAGTAGAAAAAAAAAAAAAATTGTTAGATAATTTTACAATATTTTCATAAAACATTTAAGTTTAAAATTTTTAAAATAAAAAAAATAATGATTAGATGATTAATTGAACAAAAGTCTTTGTCTCTATTGAGGAGCTAATAGGAGCTAGGTGTCGTCAATACTCGCTCAAGTTTAAAAAAGAATTCAATTTTATCGTCAAAAGTTTAAAATCAAACTGCGCAAATAACTACCCATAAAGTTTAATTTTGAGTTGCTCCCATCGAGTAAGTTAAAAAGTGGGATGGGGTCTAATCACACTAGTTGCTTTACGGAGTTGATAGTAAAATACACATTTTTTTATAGTAAGATATGTTTTTTTTTTTTTGTATCAAAATTAAAATTAAAGAATTAATAGTACTTAAACTATGATTGGTGGTATTTGTGTATAAATTCTTTTTATGTTTTAATTATATATAATTATATTGACATAAGCAATATAAATTTAAAAATATTTATAATATATAATATGATCAAATTTATTTTTAAAAAGTAAAATAAAAGAAGATAAAAAAAATACATATTTTATACGTGTGAATATTTTTCCCTAAAGAATTCAATTCATCCGTATCAATCTACACTGTATGCAAACAATGTTATGCCAAATAAGTAAGAGTCATTTTATTTGAACAATTTAACATTATCATACAGATTTGGGGTGTGTTTGTTTGGGGTATTTTCTCCTAATTATATTATTTGATTCATATAAAATTAAATACGCCTATTTATATCACAATGCTTGACTGCATGGTAATAATAATAATAATAATAATAATAATCTTATATATATATATATATATTCCTAAAATACTGACAAATCATTAAAAATAGCCCAAATTTATATTTTTTCATGGGCACAAGATGTAATGCATTTTGTTTCTAATAAAAAGCTACAAAACAAGTGAGAAGAATAGATAATTTTCAGCGCTTAAAATTAATACACTCAGCTGCAATAATAGTAATTGTGCATGCAATCCAATTCTACCAATATATATCCAATTTTACCAAACAATTCAAATTAAAGTTCAATTTTTATCCTGCCTACTCCCAGATAGCAGCTGCAGTTACCACGTCGTAATAAATAAAAAATAATCAATTTTTACTACTGTGTCCTACCCTGTCCTTGATCATCCCCAACGGCTGGTGATTGTGATTGTGATTTCACAGCATCACCACCATCTTTAGTGAAAGTGAAATTCTCGACCGGGATTTCGCCGGTGAGAATCTTGACGGCGAAGGCGATGCACGGATCCTCCATCAGAATTTGCTGCAGCTTTTCGTTGCTGTTCTTGCCGCCATCGCCCTCCTCCTCTTTATTGCCATCAATCCAAGGCAGATTCGGTTGATTATCATCCAGATTTTGCCCATCATCGGTTTCCCATTTGGTGTTGATCGGGGGCATTTTCTGTTCATCATTGTTCGCAATGTTGGTCCTTTCGGAGTCAATCGGGGGCATTTTCTGATTATCAATGCTTTCCCGTTCAGCGTCGTGATCTGGCTCGTTCGATGCCACAGCTTTGCGATTGACTCTGGCAGGCTTAAGATCTGCTTCAATGTCGACTTTGATACCAGCGAGTCTTTTCGAAGTTCTCCGAGGCAAGTCGCTTGCCCACTTTCTTTTAGAGCCCCTCGTCTTTCTCTCAGAAAGACTCAAATCCTGCTGAATGTCCACCGAAATCTGTTTGTTTTCTGTTGGTAATGGCCTTTTCATCGTCTCAGGCACAGCCGTGGTGGCGGCGATCTTCTCAACAGCACCTCCTAAGTTTACAGGCAGCATACAACAACAATTTAAGATCACGATAAATATTATGGGATTCTAGAAAACATGCATAAAATGCATTGGATATTAAATCGACATCTTATGTACCTGTTTGGAACAATGACGGATCTCTACTTGCGCCATCCTTCAATTTATTCGCTGCCAATCTCGGACTTCGTCTCCTTTCTCCGATTTTGAGTAAAGCCGCTTTCGAGCCTACAGTTTAAAATCCAAATGCAATGACATCAACCAATTAGAGGAATAACGGAAAAATGCATCTCATCCATAAATGGAACTCAATGCACACTACACATAATGCAAAATGATGTGCCAATTTCTGGTGAAGAACAGACACGGACGCTACCGTGCCTGGTGTTACTCTATCCTAATTTTTTTCTATCATGTTCGTCAAATTATTAGTTTGCACTTTATATTTTATCGCTGTGCTTGTCTATTTTCCAGTTGCGGGTTGTCAGAAAGCTTAATTTATGATCGCCTGGTTTTGTTGCAGAACATTTTAAATTCGTAGCAAGTTTCAAACTAAAAGCAATAAAAAAGCGCTTCAGAAAACCGCATGTTAGGACAACCGTATTACCTGACTTTCCCATCTCGTTGCACGACAAACTTTCATCTTCTTTCTGGCTTACTGGCATTTGTCCTTTAGCCACATTTGTCGCATCGCAATTAACGTAGGTGGCAAGTTTCAGACCTAAATGAAGGAGTATTGTTCAGTAAAAAAGCACAAGTTCGGGCAACAACACATAAATGCCGTTAAGACATGCCTAATTAATACCTGAGTTTCCCATCTCATCGGTGATTGACATTTGTCATTTAGCCTCGGCACACTACTGGGAAAAAACAACAAAGCACTATAAGTTCTAAGAAGCTTCCACAACAATTATTTCTATCTGATACTGTACCAAATGACGGCGCAAGAAAATTCTAAGAAGTTTAAATTTTTTAAAACGCCGAATTAATGTGCGCCGCCATAGTTCGATGGGTCCCAAATCAGTATAAACCATAAATAATGACATAAATATCTTTTCCTTCATGTCCGAAAAGTGACAACCATAATGTAAGCATATGTACAAACAGACCTTATTTGGATCATTGGGGTTATCATCCTTTACAGAACTTTCTAGATAATGAAGCACCTCCAGCTTCGAGCTGAATTCGAGGCCATTGGCGGGATTGACATAATACTAGAGCAAATCCAAAGAACATAACTTATTACAAAACAAAATCTAGAAAACTATAAAAATGAAGGATTCAAATTCACTGTAATCATGCCATTTGTGAATAAAAATCTAGCAAAATTAATACAAAGACAGACAATATGCTGTAATAATGCCATTTGCGGATCAGTTCTATTTTAGTAAGCGATGAATGGCAAAGTAAAGATTAAAAAATAAAACAATATACAATTCAAGACAATCTACAAACAGTTCATACTTATTCTAGCTAAGATCAAATTGAAATTAGCAAAATCTCTCTAGATTAAGCTTTAGAAACAATTCAAGACAATCTAGGAAAACTACAAACACTGAAGATTCGCAATAATAATGCCATTGGCGGATCAGTTCCCTTTTAGTAGCGATGAATGGCAAAATAAAGATCAAACAAAGCACAAGATCAAATTCAAGACAATCTACAAACAGTTCATGTTCATTTGAACTAAGATTGAATCAAAATTAGCAAAATCATTCTAACTTCAACATAAACAACAATCCTCTACACACAAATTCAACCCTAATCTACACAGGCTGCAGATACAATAGCCATGTTTTCATTGTCTTCATTATCTGTTGTTCCAATTGCCCTAATCTAAAGTTCAAGTTTCCACATTTCGCTTCAACCACAGAAAACAAAACTAAAAAAAAGTTTTCAAGCCCTACAAAAACCAAATTCTCAATCTATCGCAGAATCAAAGAATCCATAAAACAGTCAAAGCGTACAGAAGTTCAATCATCAAAATAAAACCCTAACTCTCAACAACAACAAGTTCATCAAATTTCGATCTTCAACACAATTACTTACCGTATCTTTCTTCCCAGAGCTTCGAGCCTTCACTCGAACTTTCCAAGCCGCAGGCAGCCATTCAGGGTGTTCGCAGCCCATCCCCAAATTTCACTCCAATTAACCCTAAATTCAACTCCACAAATCACGAAAACTCCACAACAACAACAACAAAAGGGCAAACACCGAAATCAAGCAATTCCCCTATTCTCCACCCCAATAGCGAGACTTGAGCGATTCGCAAACTGAAGAGTAAATCAAGTAATCGCCCGAAAACAAATATATAAAGCGAGAATCGAAGGGGCTATGCAGTAGCAAGGCCGGTGTGAAATTGGTGGGAGGGATGCAGAAAGAGACAACCACGTGTCGGAAACTTTCTGTAGCACGCCGAGAGAGCCGCCAAAACGGTCCGTTAAATAGGGGCGCCATGGTTTCAATCTGCTTGAATTTTCCCAATCCCTAATTTCCTTTCTTCTTCTGTTCGCTCTGGATTTTGCACAATCTCTGTGAATTTAATTACCCTATCTGCCCAGATTGCATCGACCCTTTGTAGATTCAAGAAATTAAAGAGAGCATATGTACATAAATCTTTCTTTCTTTCTCTTTTGGGATTCGAAACAACTATGGCTGCCTTAAATTTGGACAAAAAATGCATAATTTATCAGCGGATCGTTAACGGGCAAAATGAAGAATGCGAGAACCTGAGAAGAAGGGCAGGCAGAGCACGCTGCTCTGGAAGTAATGGAGGCGGTTCTGTATGGAAGGTTGGGCCTCGGCCATTCCTTGGACCTCCAGAATTGCCCATTCTGCACAGTTGCCCTCACCACAGCTGCACTTCGCCTGGATCACAATTGCTTCGTCGAGATTTCAATTTATGTATCGACGATGAAGATTTCTATCACTTTCGACCTGCAATTTGGGGGAATTGTGAAATTAGGGTTCATAATTGGGGGAGTTAGGCTAGCAGCCACATCATTGATATATTTTGGCGGGAAAACAATGAGTTAAAAAGTAATGGGGCGAATCGAAGCGAAGTAGGGAATCGAGTTGTTTGCTTAGAACGTAAGGCTTGTTTGTTTGGAGTTTTATATATATATATATATATATATTTCTTATTATTAACATATTTTTTAAAAAAACCAAATTAAATATTTATTTTTTAAAAATTATACTTAAAAAATTATATTAAAATTGCTGTTTTTTCTATATATTTATATTATATTTTTTTAAAAAATAATTAAAAAAGTCTATTTAAGTATTAAACTTAAAAAACTCAAAAGCTTCAAACAACATCCTAATTTTATTTTATAATAGTCCTACTTTTTTATTTTTAATTGTAAAAAATAAAGTTTACATAATCTTCTATGCTCATCCTGTGGTAATCTATAAGATACTTATTTTCTTTTTTCTTTCACTAAAATACATGGTAATAAAGAAAAATGGGCATGTAGATTTTTGAATTTGTAATTTAAAGGACAAAAATATCTCTATGTAATATAAAAATAATGAATATAGCGTAATAGGTAATGCCATTATTAAATTAAAAATTACGGATGGTTTCATGGGACATGGAGTATATTCTTTTCATCCAGACAAGCTGTAATGCATTTTCTTTTTGATAAAAAACTACCAAACAAGTAAGAAGAAGAAATAATTTACCGCGCTTGAAATTACAGTGACAGCAGCAATAGTAATAGTAATTGTGCACGCAATGCATGCATTCAATCCAATTCTACAGATATATATATATATATGAATATATCCAATTTCACCATACAATTCTACACATCAATTCTCTGCTTCAGCATTGCATCCAATGTTACCAATCAATTCAAATTAAAGTTGAAAAAATAAATAATAATAAAAAAATAAATAAATAATCAATTTTTACTACTGTAAATCCTTTCTTTGTCCCTGTCCCTGTCCTTGATCCCCGACGGCTGGTGACTGTGAATGTGATTTCACAGCATCACCACCAGCTTTAATGAAATTCTCGACGGGGATTTCGCCGGTGAGAATCTTGACGGCGAAGGCAATGCAGGGATCCTTCATCAGAACTTGCTGCAGCTTTTCGTCGTTGTTCTTGCCGCAATTGCCCTCCTCTTTATTGCCATCATCGGTTTTCTGTTCGGTGTCGATCTGGGGCATTTTCTGTTCATTGTTGTTCGCCGCTTCAGAGACAATTGATGGCATTTTCTGATCATCATTGTCGATTCTTTCACTGTTCAGCTTCAGCTCATTCGATGCCATCACAGCTTTGCAAGTAGCTTTGGCGGGCCTAAGAAGACATGCTTCCATATTGACTTTCACACCAGCGAGTCTTTTCGAAGTTCTCCGAGGAAAGTCGCTCGTCAATTTTCTTTTAGAGCCCTTCGACTTCCTGCTTTGCGCTGAAAGACTCGAACCCTCGTGACCTTCCGCAGAAATCTGTTCATTTTCTGTTGCTATTGACCTGTTCGTCATCGGAGGTGCAGTGGTGGTGGAGGTGTTCTGGACAGCATTTCCTGAGTTTGCAGACAGACAGCATTTGACGACAACTTTTAAAGGTTACGAAAAATATCGATATGGGATTCTAAAAAGACTCGTAAAATACATCAATAGACATCTTATGTACCTGTTTGGGATGACGACGAGCCTTCAATGGCATGATCTTTCAATTTATTCGCAGCCAATCTTGGACTCCGTCTTCTTTCTCCTGTTCTAAGTAACGCCGCTTTTGAGCCTACAGTTTAAAATCCAAACGCAACGACATCAGCCAATTAGAGGAATGACGAGAAAAAATGCATCTTGTCAATGAATGGAACTCAATACATACTAAACATAATGCAAAATAGTGTGCCGATTTCTGGTGAAGAACAAACACCTGAAATTTTATCTACTTTCTAGTTTGCCAATTTATTAGTATTCTCATTATATTTTATCGGTGTGCTTGTCTATTTTTCGGTTGCGGGTTGTCAGGAAGCTTAATTTATGATCACCTGGTTTGGTTGCAGAATATTTTAGATAAGTAGCAAGATTCAGACCTAAATGCAATAAAAACGGGCAAATGCATCTAGGAGCATAAATCAGACAATCACAGCGTTATGACAGGTGTATTTTACCTGACTTAACCATCTCGTTGCACAACAAACTTTTATCCTCTTTCTGGTTTATTGGCATTTGTCCTTTAGCCACATTTGTCGCATCGCATTTAACGTCAGTGGCAAGTTTCAGACCTAAATGCAGGAGCATTGTTCAGTAAAAAAGCACACGTTCGGGCAACAAAACATAAATGCCTAATTAATACCTGACTTTCCCAGCTCATCTACATTGTCGTTGATTGACAGTTGACCTTCAGCCTCGGCACACAACTGTGTAAGAAGCACAAATCAAGATGAGTTGTAAGAAGCTTTCACAACATTTATTTTTATCTGATATAGATCCAAACGGCCAATAAAGATCAAAGAATTATTCACTTTTTTAAAATGCCGAATTAATGAGCACCCACCGAACCTTCGATGGATACCAAATAAGTATAAACCATAAAGAATGACATAAATATACTTCATATTCGAAAAGCGACAACCATAATGTAAGCATATGTACAAACATACCATATTTGGATCATTGGGATTATCATTCTTTACCGAACTCTCTAGATAATGAAGCACCTCTAGCTTCGAGCTGAATTTGAGGCTATTGGCAGGATTGATGTAATACTATAGCAAATCCAAAGAACAGAACTTATTAAAAAACAAAATCTAGCAAACTACCATGACGAAATATTCAGATTCACTGTAGTCATGCCATTTGTGAATTAAATCTAGCAAAACTACAAAGACAGAAGTTTCGAAGTAATAACACCATTTGTGGATCAGTTCCATTTTAGAAAGAGATGAATGGCAAAGCACAGATCAAACAACACACATAATCCAAATCAAGATAATCTACAAACAGTTCATGCTCATTTGAACTAAGATTAGAATAAGCAAAATCAAAATCCCCATAAGTTCAACATTACCAACAATTCCTCAACACACAAATTCCATCCAAATCTACAAAGGCAGCACAAACAGTAGCCAAAACCCAATCTTCATCATCTGTTGTTCCAATTGCCCTGATCTAAAGTTCTTCAAGTTTTCCACATTTCACATTTCGATTCAAACACAGAACAGAACCAAACAAGCATTTTCAAGCCCTACAAACACCAAATTCTCAATCCATTGCAAAATCAAAGAATCCATAAAACAGGCAAAGCATACAGATCTTCAATCCTCAAAATTAAACCCTAAATCTAAACCACAACAAGGTCATCAAATTTAGATCACCTTCCAACACAATTACTTACCTTATCTTTCTTCCCAGAGCTTCGAGCCTTCACTCTAACTTTCCAACCAGCAGGAAGCCATTCAGGGTGTTCGCCGCCCATCCCCAAATTTCACTCCAATAAACTCTAAATTCCAACTCCACAAACCACAAAAACTCACCCAACAACAACAACAGCAAGGGGCAAACGCTAGACTCAAGCAATTTCGCAATTCTCCACTCCAATCGAGACTTGCGCGATTCGAAAACTGAAGAGTAAAGCAAGTAATCGCCGAAAGGATATAAATAAAGACGGAAATGAAGGGGCTATGCAGTGGCGAGGGTGGTGTGAACAATGGAGGGAGGGCTCGCACAAAGCCGCAGAGTGGCGACGGCCACGTGTAGCTAGCACACCGGGAGAGCCGCCAAAACGGTTCCGACATGACTCCATCAAATAGGGACGTCATGGTTTCGATTTTCTTGAATTTTCTCAATCCCGAATTTCGTTTCTTCCTCTGTCTGCTCTGGATTTTGCACAATCTCGCTGAATTTAATTACTCTATCTGCCCAGATACCATCGACCCTTTGTCGATTCACGTAATTAAAGAAAGTATATGTGCAGCAAAATTAGATTTTCTTTCTTTCTTTCTTTCTTTTTTAGGTTTCGAGACAATATGGCTGCCTTCGATTTTGATCAACAATGTCTAATTTGTCAGAGGATCGTTAACGGACAAAATGAAAAATGCCGAGAACCTGAGAAGACGGGCGGCAAGAGCACGCCGAGTTGGAGGCATTTCTGTACGGAGGTTTGGGCTTCGCTTCGACCATTCCTGGGAGCTGCACTTCATCTGGATCTGCATTGCTTCTTCGCGATTTCAGTTTATGTAACGACGGTTATGATTTCGATCACTTCAACTTGCAATTCGGGGTAATTGTGAAGTTAGGGTTCTTAATAATAATTGGGGGAGACGAAGCAGCCACATACTTGATGTTTTGGCGGAAAACAGTGAAGGTGTTTGTTCGTGGGTTTGTGTTTTTAGTTTGAATTTTTTAATAATAAAAAATTGAATTTAATAGTTTTTTTTATTGATATAAATATATATTTATATAATATTTTAATATAAAATAAATTTATAATATAATACTCCATAAGTTTTAAAATTATAGTACGAGATATGTTTGACATTATAAATTAATATTATATTAGTGTGAATAAAAAATATGGATAAAATTTTTTTTTTTTTTTATTTTTGTAATATGTAAAAAATAGTGACAATTTTATAATAATAATAAAAAAATAAAAATAATTTTATAATAATATTATTATTTATTAAAATAAAACTATCATATTGAAATGGAGGAGGAAGTATATATTTTTTTTAAAAGAAAAAGAATCTGTATAATAAATTTGTGTGTCGAATCCCACGAAAGAAGACAATCAGAGTGTTTGATTAAAAATTTAAGGCAATGTTTGTTTGAAGTATTTTACAGGTTATTTATTTATATATTATGCTATATTAAAAATGGATTGATTTTATATTTAAATTATTATATACTTCATCCGTTTTAATACAATAGTTTTATTTATTATTTTTTTGTTCTAAAATAATAGTCTCATTCCCATAAATAATCATATTACTATAAAACTATTATTATTTTTTTATTATTATTACACAATTGCCACTACTTTTTACACTAATACACTCACACAAGGATAAAATTTTTTTATATGTACCTTTTACTCACTATTAATATAATATAAATATTTTTTAAATTCCGTACCCAACACAACCCAAACTGGGACGGAGGAAGTATTACTTATTCCGACCTATGTTTATTCTTTCCATATTCGTTCATTACTCATATAATTTGCCGCTTTTTAAAACACGAATAATTATATATTAAATCACATTTTAAATACTCCATACTTTATAATCTTTTAAATTTTATAATTATATATTTAAATTACATTTTAAAATTTTATAATTATATATTTAAATTACATTTTAAATATAATTTATAGAAGTAATTTTAAATTTTATTAAACTCGTAACAAGGATTCAATAGTTGAATTTCCGGAAAGATCATTGTCGATGTCTGTCCTGGCAGATAACAGCGAATTTGTGATGCGAAATACGAATGCCGGTCAGGCCGTCCATCGAAACAGAGTGGGCGTCCCAAAAAACTCCTGCGTGGTTTTTTGTAAATATGTGGGCAGTGAAAAGGGATTTCCTGCGATGCATGTCGCGGCCAAAAATTGCGAACGACGACTTTGTCTGCTTTTCACGGACTCGTCGTCCAGCCGTATATTGCGAACAAGGATTCGCGCACGGGCGCTGACGAACCCGTGTAAACGCGAGAAGTCCAGTCAGCCTTATCTTTTGGAGAAAAGAGAACTCGTAACAAAGATTCTGTAGTTGAACCTGCGAAAGGATCATTGTCGATGTCTGCCTCGGCAGACAACAGCGAATTCGTGACCCGACGTACGAATGCCGGTCAGGCCGTCCATCGAGACAGAGTGGGCGACCCAAAAAACTCCTGCGCGGATTTTTGCCAATATGTAGGCAGCCAAAATAGAATTCTTGCGAAGCACGTCGCGGCCAAAATTCGCGAACGACGACCTTGTCCGCCGGTCACGGACCCGTCGTCCAGCCGTATATTGCGAACGAGGATTCGCGCACGGGCGCTGACGAACCCGCGTCAACGCGGGAAGTCCAGTCGGCCTTCTCGCTTAGAGAAAAGAGAACTCGTAACAAGGATTCTGTAGTTGAACCTGCGAAAGGATCATTGTCGATGTGTGCCTCGGCAGACAACAGCAAATTCGTGACCCGACGTACGAATGCCGGTCAGGCCGTCCATCGAGACAGAGTGGGCGCCCAAAAATACTCCTGCGCGGATTTTTGCCAATATGTAGGCAGCCAAAATAGAATTCTTGCGAAGCACGTCGCGGCCAAAATTCGCGAACGACGACCTTGTCCGCCGGTCACGGACCCGTCGTCCAGCCGTATATTGCGAACGAGGATTCGCGCACGGGCGCTGACGAACCCGCGTCAACGCGAGAAGTCCAGTCGGCCTTCTCGCTTAGAGAAAAGAGAACTCGTAACAAAGATTCTGTAGTTGAACCTGCGTAAGGATCATTGTCGATGTGTGCCCCGGCAGACAACAGCGAATTCGTGACCCGACGTACGAATGCCGGTCAGGCCGTCCATCGAGACAGAGTGGGCGCCCAAAAAAACTCCTGCGCGGATTTTTGTGAATATGTAGGCAGCCAAAATAGAATTCTTACGAAGCACGTCGCGGCCAAAATTCGCGAACGACGACCTTGTCCGCCGGTCACGGACCCGTCGTCCAGCCGTATATTGCGAACGAGGATTCGCGCACGGGCGCTGACGAACCCGCGTCAACGCGGGAAGTCCAGTCGGCCTTCTCGCTTAGAGAAAAGAGAACTCGTAACAAGGATTATGTAGTTGAACCTGCGAAAGGATCATTGTCGATGTGTGCCCCGGCAGACAACAGCGAATTCGTGACCCGACGTACGAATGCCGGTCAGGCCGTCCATCGAGACAGAGTGGGCGCCCCAAAAAACTCGTGCGCGGATTTTTATGAATATGTAGGCAGCCAAAATAGAATTCCTGCGATGCACGTCGCGGCCAAAATTCGCGAACGACGACCTTGTCTGCCGGTCACGGACCCGTCGTCCAGCCGTATATTGCGAACGAGGATTCGTGCACAGGCGCTGACGATCCCGCGTCAACGCGGGAAGTCCAGTCAGCCTTATCGTTTAGAGAAAAGAGAACTCGTTACAAGGATTCTGTAGTTGAACCTGCGAAAGGATCATTGTCGATGTCTGCCCCGGCAGACAACAACGAATTCGTGACCCGACGTACGAATGCCGGTCAGGCCGTCCATCGAGACAGAGTGGGCGCCCCAAAAAACTCCTGCGTAGATTTTTGTGAATATGTAGGCAGCTAAAATAGAATTCCTGCGATGCACGTCGCGGCCAAAATTCGCGAACGACGACCTTGTCCGCCGGTCACGGACCCGTCGTCCAGCCGTATATTGCGAACGAGGATTCGCGCACGGGCGCTGACGAACCCGCGTCAACGCGAGAAGTCCAGTAAGCCTTATCTTTTGGAGAAAAGAGAACTCGTAACAAAGATTCTGTAGTTGAACCTGCGAAAGGATCATTGTCGATGTCTGCCCTGACAGACAACAGCGAATTCGTGACCCGACGTACGAATGCCGGTCAGGCCGTCCATCGAGACAGAGTGGGCGCCCCAAAAAACTCCTGCGCGGATTTTCGCCAATATGTAGGCAGCCAAAATAGAATTCCTGCGATGCACGTCGCGGCGAAAATTCGCGAACGACGACCTTGTCCGCCGGTCACGGACCCGTCGTCCAGCCGTATATTGCGAACGAGGATTCGCGCACGGGCGCTGACGAACCCGCGTCAACGAGGGAAGTCCAGTCAGCCTTCTCGTTTAGAGAAAAGAGAACTCGTAACAAGGATTATGTAGTTAAACCTGCGAAAGGATCATTGTCGATGTGTGCCCCGGCAGACAACAACGAATTCGTGACCCGACGTACGAATGCCGGTCAGGCCGTCCATCGAGACAGAGTGGGCGCCCCAAAACACTCCTGCGCGGATTTTCGTGAATATGTAGGCAGCCAAAATAGAATTCCTGCGATGCACGTCGCTGCCAAAATTCGCGAACGACGACCTTGTCCGCCGGTCACGGACCCGTCGTCCAGCCGTATATTGCGAACGAGGATTCGCGCACGGGCGCTGACGAACCCGCGTCAACGCGGGAAGTCCTGTCAGCCTTCTCGTTTAGAGAAAAGAGAACTCGTCACAAGGATTCTGTAGTTGAACCTGCGAAAGGATCATTGTCGATGTCTGCCCCGGCAGACAACAGCGAATTCGTGACCCGACGTACGAATGCCGGTCAGGCCGTCCATCGAGACAGAGTGGGCGCCCCAAAAAACTCCTGCGCGGATTTTCGCCAATATGTAGGCAGCCAAAATAGAATTCCTGCGATGCACGTCGCGGCGAAAATTCGCGAACGACGACCTTGTCCGCCGGTCACGGACCCGTCGTCCAGCCGTATATTGCGAACGAGGATTCGCGCACGGGCGCTGACGAACCCGCGTCAACGCGGGAAGTCCAGTCAGCCTTCTCGTTTAGAGAAAAGAGAACTCGTAACAAGGATTCTGTAGTTGAACCTGCGAAAGGATCATTGTCGATGTCTGCCCCGGCAGACAACAGCGAATTCGTGACCCGACGTACGAATGCCGGTCAGGCCGTCCATCGAGACAGAGTGGGCGCCCCAAAAAACTCCTGCGCGGATTTTCGCCAATATGTAGGCAGCCAAAATAGAATTCCTGCGATGCACGTCGCGGCGAAAATTCGCGAACGACGACCTTGTCCGCCGGTCACGGACCCGTCGTCCAGCCGTATATTGCGAACGAGGATTCGCGCACGGGCGCTGACGAACCCGCGTCAACGCGGGAAGTCCAGTCAGCCTTCTCGTTTAGAGAAAAGAGAACTCGTAACAAGGATTCTGTAGTTGAACCTGCGAAAGGATCATTGTCGATGTCTGCCCCGGCAGACAACAGCGAATTCGTGACCCGACGTACGAATGCCGGTCAGGCCGTCCATCGAGACAGAGTGGGCGCCCCAAAAAACTCCTGCGCGGATTTTCATGAATATGTAGGCAGCCAAAATAGAATTCCTGCGATGCACGTCGCGGCGAAAATTCGCGAACGACGACCTTGTCCGCCGGTCACGGACCCGTCGTCCAGCCGTATATTGCGAACGAGGATTCGCGCACGGGCGCTGACGAACCCGCGTCAACGCGGGAAGTCCAGTCAGCCTTCTCGCTTAGAGAAAAGAGAACTCGTAACAAGGATTCTGTAGTTGAACCTGCGAAAGGATCATTGTCGATGTCTGCCCGGCAGACAACAGCGAATTCGTGACCCGACGTACGAATGCCGGTCAGGCCGTCCATCGAGA